CCACCCTCAGCAGGACCTGAGTCACCAGTGACCTCAACCGGCGCAGTCAAGGGAGGAGGGTCTACCTGAGACACACCTGAAGGAGCAGGACCGGGAGCGGGGAGGGGGTCTACCTGGGGAGCACCTGGAGCGAGGAAGAGCGGCGGGGGGGGGGAGAGGGGCAGTGCGGTAGGGGAAGAGACGGTAAAAGGGAACCGACTCGTCGAACGTGACGTCCTGAGAGAGGAAGACACGGCGCGAGGTGGGGTGGTAAAACTGCCAACCAGGCGCGTCAGGGACAAAGCCAAGGAAGACACAGGGAACAGCGCGGGCGGAGAGCTTGTCCGCGGTAGTATCGCGGACAAAGGCACGAGCACGCCTGACCCGGAAACGCGACGCATCGCCAACCTTCCCCGTCTACAGCAGCGTGGGCGAGGTCTCCGGCAAGGAGACACGGGGCCAGAGGTTGAGCTGATGCGCGGCGTACCGGACCGCAAACGGCCACAGAAAATGGGGGGCAGCCGCATGGATCATGGAGGTACGAGCGACCTCCATGACTAAGCCAATGCGGCGCTCAGCAACCCCATTCTGCTGCGGAGAGGCCGGATGCCGTGCTCCGCACAGAAGGCTGCCAAGAGGTCGGAGGAGAACTCACCACCTCTGTCAGAATGCAGACGCAGGACAGGAAAGTTCGACTGGAAACGCTCGCGGAGCTGGAGACGAACAGCGCGGATCCAGGGGATCAAAACATCAGGGACATCCCCCTTGCGTTGCAAGGGGAAGACCGTGGTGTAACGCGTGTAGTCGTCGACGACCAGCAGGAAGTACCGCTCGTGGCCCTGTCCACGGACGCGGGCTGGGCCCCACACGTCCAGGTGGAGAGTCTGCAGGGGAGCCTCTGTGGGAGGGAACGAGGAGGAGTGAGGAGCGGCGTGCTGCCGCCCCTCGATACAGGGAAGACAGAGAGGAGCAGGCGAGGGTGGGAGGGGAGGGAGAACCCTGGGAAGACCAGAGACAAGGACATGGTGGTGCATGCTACGAAGGCGCTGCACCGAGGGGTGACCAAGGCGGTGGTGCCAAAGGAGGGTCTGGTGCGACAAAGCGCGACACGAGCAGGGGGGCGCTAGCTGACCTGACGCAGACGCAGACGCAGCGACCTGAGGGGACACAGTAGTCAGTGTGTACAAACTCGAGCCAGGCGCACGGGTAAACGTGGCCAGGTACCGGCCCGTCCGGAAGCACGTACAGTGGGTCACGCGCTGACCTCCAGGAGTGAACTGGTCAACCCACTGGTCCTGGAGGTCAGCACCACTAACCAAGTTCGTAGAGAACGAGGGGAGGTGAAGACCTGACAGGGAGCCAGACGGGACCGCCGGACACGGCAGGACCGTGGAGGAGTGCGCAAGGACTGGACCCCCAGAGGGGTCTGCCAGGGAGACTGGAACCGGCCGGCTGAGCGGCGTGAGGGTGGTGCTGTCGCGAAAGAAGGAGCGGGAAGCACCTGCGTCAAGTGTGAAGGTGTACAAGGCCTCAGCAGGCGCAGTACCAGAGAGAGCAGACTCACCAGCACCTGGAGCAGCAACCTCACCAGCACCCAGAGCAGGAGACGCACTAGCACCTAGAGCAGCAGCCTCACCAGCACCTAGAGCAGGAGACGCACGAGCACCTAGAGCAGCAGCCTCACCAGCACCGAGAGCAGCAGGCTCTATACCTGGGTCAGGCGGTACGCACAGGTAACAGGCACGGTCAGCACTAGTAGACAATGCATACATGGCAGTGAGAATAGCATCATAGTCAAGAGCAAATATATCTACCCTCTGCCCAAGCAGCTCCACCCAGTCGGGGAGCTCAGCCTCGTCGCCAAACTCGGTACGCCAGGCGTCGCTCAGACGGGCGAAGCAGCAGGACTGTGTCTGACTAAGCGTCCCGCAAGCCTGACCCGTCCGATCACTTGTGCGAATGACGTACGGGCAGCGAACGGTACTCAAAGACCCTCTACTCTGAGCGTACCACTCTCGCGCGGACGCCGCTGCAGCTGCAGCTGGCCACTGCCAGACGCTCCCGACTGACCAGCTCCTGGGCGATAGCCACGACGGCTACCGCCACAACCCCAACTAGCGTACCACTCACGAAGCTGCTGGGGCGTGAGAGACTCGCGTGGACGTAGCTGGAGCTGCATCTGGCCACCGCCAGTAGCAGCAGTAGCAGTAGTAGCAGCAGCAGCAGCAGCAGCAGCAGCAGCAGCAGCAGCAGCAGCAGCAGTCTAGCAGTAGTAACAGAAGGAACAGCAGTAGCAGCAGTAGCAGCGCGGGCAGGGCAGGCAGGCAGGCGTGGAAGGCAGGCAGGCAGGTGGCGCTACAGTGCGCAAACAAGGCAGGTGCTCACCAGTGGCGGTCAGGGCCGGCGCTCGGCGGGCGGCAGCCGGGTAGGTGCACGACGGCGGCGACGACGGGGCCACGACAGCTGCAGCAGAGCAGGGCCGCGACAGCTGCTACAGGGCGGGGTCGTGACAGTTGCAGGAGGCTCCGCGGCAGCTGCTGCAAGGCAGGGCCGTGACGGCGGCAGAAGGCTCCGCGGCAGCTGCTGCAGGGCGGGGCCGCGACTGTGGCAAGGCGCTCCGCGGCAGCTGCTGCAGGAGCGACAGCGGCAGTCAGGCAGGGGCAGCGTCCAGAGGAGGGGCGTCGCGACAGGCCGGGGCGACGTCCAGGGGGGGGCGCCGCGACGAACAGGGGCAGCCGCGGCGCGCGGGCCTGCAGCGCGCAACGCGAGCTGCGGGCGCGGCGCGCGAAGCCGCCGCGGGCTGCGCGAGGACGGCAGCCGCGGCGCGCGGGGCTGCAGCGCGACGTGCGGGCAGCTGACGCGACGCGCGGGGCTGCAGCGCGACGCGCGAGGCTGCAGCGCGACGCGCGGGGCTGCAGTGCGACGCACGGGGCTGCAGCACGCAGCGCGGGCTGCGGACGCGGCGCGCGGAGCAGCAGCGAGCCGCGCGCGAGCTGCTGCAGGGTGGGGCCAGGTAGGGCTGCGTCAGTGGCAGGTCGTGGCCGCGAGGAGGGGCGGCGCTCTGGCCTGCAGGGGTGGCTCGCGGGCCTGACGGGCCTGCAGGGAAGGCTCGCGGGCCTGGCGGGCCTGCAGGGGCGGCGCGCTGGCCTTACGGGCCTGTAGGGGCGGCGCGCTGGTCTAGGGCAGCAGTAGGCAGCGTGAGGGCTGCAGGACGGCTCGCGCAGCGCAACACGTCACAAGGCAAGGCATGCAACACATGGGGTAGCGTGGTAACCGTAATGGTAGGTGGGCCCGGAAAAAAAAAAAAAAAAAAAAAAAAAACGGTCCTACGGACCTAGTGCTCTGAAACCATGTTAGAAACTAGCAGGAATGAATAAACTATGAAAGGGTTGGGTACAAGTATGAAACCCTAAAAGGGGCTGTACCCCATATTGGCTACCCCACTACTGCCTAAACATATATAGCATATATATACTTTTACATTGGACTGGCCTTGTGGCCTCTTTTGTTTGTGCTCAGAGTGTGTGGTGACGTTGTGATCCACCCTGAGCTTTGTTTCTTTGTGACTGGTCTTGTGACCGTACACTTTTGGTTTTGCTTGACACCCCCTTACTTAGACTATGGGGGTGTGTCAAATGTTGTAGTCTTGGTGATGTGTGTCATAGGGGGTACAACTCTTAGGGATAGGCTTATGTACCCCAACCAACATTGTGAATGCAAGACTTTCATTCTTGACAGGCAGTTCATGGTTTGGTGAAACAGTGCGCGCGAAGTTGGCGAAGCCCCGTTAGCAGTTACGGGCGAACAACGGCTGCTGCTGTATGCAATGTTGACGGTCGCGGTAAGGAATGTCGAGAAAATTCCTTACACTTGCCCACCACTACACTCATACCGACGGCCCAGCCGCGCATATGTTTGTGCGTAAGACCTGACCATAGATCATACACCTTTATCTACAAGCGAAGTCGGAATCAACCGTCTTATGAGTACATTCACGACTCTGCGACCTGTTTTCGTACGAATCTGACGTCAGACACCAAAGTGGTAACATCCGTGCGAATCAAGGCATGACATTGCAGGACGTGCGATTGCTGTCAGTAGTCAGACCTATGATACGGCGATTTCTCGTTGTCGTGAATGGTCGCAAGCCCTGGGAAAATTTGGTGTGTGCGTTGCCTTGCGAATCATGTTTCGCATTATCGTGGTGCCATGTGCAATAACTGCCCCTTTTTGGTTTGCACACTGGACTGATTTGCTCAAACCTGCCCGGCAAGGCTAAAGTTTTCAATGCCGCCTTCAGAAACCCATAGAAATGGCACGAACTTTGACGATCGGACTGTCGATGTAGAGCATTTCCTATCCGACGGCTATGAACGCAACGCATTGTGACAAAAGGTCACTGTGCTGTCGACTTTCGTGTTTCAAACCTTACTCGCCACCCATTCCCGCGCGCCGCGCTCATGGCATCGTCACCCAGAGGCCGCGGACATGCGCTCCGATTTCATAACTTCGACACATTCCTTTCGGCGTGGGGCAATCTGGGGGATGTGGCAGCATGGGCAATCACAGCACCAGCAATCAATCCCTCTCTCGCACCCTTGCCTCCCAATTCCACCATCCACCCCATTTCGCCCCTTCCATCGCTAAGGTGATGATTTCGGGTCCCTCCTCCCTTGCTCCTGCCATCCTACCCTGGCTTTCTCTAGCGCAGTCAACTTTGCAGAGTGGTGCTCGTTTTGTCTCCCCTAATCTCGATCTGCAGCACCCTTTCCCTTTGCTGTCCTTACCACAATCGATCTGCCAAAAGAAAGTCAGAGAGCTTTCTGAAATGGCTTCGGCGCAACTAGTAATGTTGACCATGAAGCAAAGTCGGCCATCTAAAGAGTAGGGATAATATTAAGGATCAACGCTTCTCCTTAAACCGCTTAAATAGGTCATGGTCGCGATCTTTAGCCACGCGCAGAGCGGCAATATCTAGCCCCGATACTCTCGTAGGTTCCTTAGCGCAGCAGAGCCGCACAATGTCGGACGATTCAGTCCTAATCCACCTCCCCCTCGCCTCCCCCGGTCACAACGCTCCCGCCACCAAAATGTCTCTCGACGATCCCTCCGCACCGATTTCCCTCTTCGCGCCGCAAATCAGCCCCGCGCCGCCCCTCTGGGCGGCGCTCGACGCCATGCACGGGCTCGACCCGGGCGGCGCGAGCGCGTGCTTCACCTCGTCGGAGCGCCTCTCCGACACGGAGTTCGCCGACGACTTCGATCCGTCATCTCCTCCCGGCCCGTCATCTTTTCTGACGGCCGCCGACGACATGGAGGCGCGCCTCTCCCGCCCGTCCCCGCACACGCGGATCCCGGAGGCGGAAACTCCGCGCAAGAGCGGGGGCGGGGGGGCGGGAGGGGACGGCGCAGGCGGAATGTGCTGGTCGCCGGCGTGGCTGCCGAGCGAAGACGACATTTTCAACGACCCAATCAGCGGCGACAGCACAATGCTGCACGATGCGCCGCCTTTCGCGGGAAACAGCGGCGGGAGCGGCGGAAGCCGCGGCTACCAAGGAGAAAGCGGACCGGGGATGGGCACTGGGGCGATGTCCGCCGGATCTGGCGGCGGGAATCGCGGGATGGGGGGTATGAGTGGCGGGAATAGTCCGTTTGGAGTTAATCTGTCCGGGACGGACTCGGCGGGTCTGCTGCTCTCGCGCACTTCGCCGATGCCCGGGATGACCGTGCAGGATCTAATCATGGCCGTCGATTCGGTGAGCTTCGCCACCCCTGCGCCGCACGGCAGCCGCGCGATCGGCGGCGGATCGGACGGCGGGTCGTTCAACAACGCCCTTTCGTACACCAACGGGCCGTCTAGCAACAACGCGCCGTCATCTTACACCAATGCGCCCTCCTACACTAACGGCCCGTCTTACCCCGCCAACCAATCACCGGAGCCTTGGTCCCTCACCTCCTATTACGACACGCCCGTTTCCGATATCCTCTGCGAGACCGGCCAGGCCTCCACGTGTCCGTCTTCCATTGGCCCGTCGTCCACATCGGATGTTCGTGTCTCCCCAACGCCTCAGAGCGACCTGTTTCCGGGAAATGCTGGTCCCGCTCCGATTGCCTGCTCGCCTAGTACTTATCGCGGGCTGGCTTATAACGAGGCTCGGCGGGCAGTGCGGGGCAACCTGATGGACCGTCTCAACGCGCGGGAAAACGACACGCGGCCGCTGGATGCGCCGCAGCAGCCGCTTCTGCAGCAGCAGCAGCAGCAGCAGCAGCAGCAGCCGCAGCCGCAGCCGCAGCAGTACAACCCTAGCAGTCAACAGCAGCAGATGCAACAGCCGCAATCGCAGATGCAGCAACAGCAGCAGCAGGCGCAGTACGGCAGTGAGATGAACCACAGCAGCAGCAGCACGGCGTTGGTTCGCGACCTCACCTTCTCCGACTCCCCCGCTCTCGCCGCCGCTGCCGCCGCCGCCGTCGCCATCGTAGCGGGCGACAGCATCTCCCCGCGCGCCCCGCCGCCACTGGGCCAAGTAAACCTCCCTCCTCCCCCTCCCAGGCCGCCGCAGCAGCCGCTCCTGCAGCAGCAACAGCAGCAGCAGCGGCAATCGCCGCAATACCAGCAGCCGCAGCAGCCACTCCAGCCGCAGCAACCACCGCAGCAGCAGCAGCAGCAGCAGCAGCAGCAGTCGCCTGTGTCACAGGCCGGTGGCAGCGCGGCAGAGAGCAACATCTTCGCTGGGCTGGGCAGCCTCGATGGCTCCCCTCTCCCCATGCACCCCGCCGGACTCCCCGCTGACTCGGGCTCAGGCTCGGGGCTAGGCTCGGGCCTAGGCTCCGCCCTAGGTTCGGGTTCAGGGCCAGAGTCAGGTGCGAGAGCAGGTGGAGTGAGTGCAGGCAGTGCGAACGGAGATGGATACCCGCGTGGGGCAGAGGGAGAGAGCGCGGAGGCGATAAGGAGCGGAGGGAGGGGGGGCGGTAGCTCTGCTGTGCAAGTGCCACAGCTGCCGCCGCAGCAAACACAGCTGCTGCAGCAGCAGCAGCAGCAGCAGACAGAGGCGTCGAGGCAGCAGCGTTCGCCACAAGCGGGAGTGTCGGCCCAGCAGCAGTACCAGCAGCAAATGCACCTACCTCCACCGCCGCAGCAGCAGCAGCAACAGCAGCAGCAGCAGCAGCACCGGCAACAGCAGCAGCAGCACCAGCAACAGCAGCCGCAGCAGCAACAGCAGCATCTATACCATCAGCCGCAGCAGCAACAGCAGCAGCAGCAGCAACAGCAACAGCAACAGGTATACCAACAGCCAGAGTTCAAGCCTCTTTCCCAGACGGTGGTGTTGCAGCAGCCACAACAGCAGAGGCCGCAGCAACAGCAGCCTCACCAGCAACATCATCAGCAGCAGCAGTACCAGCAGCAGCAGCACCAGCAATACCAGCAGCAGCAGCACCAGCAATACCAGCAGCAGCAGCACCAGCAATACCAGCAGCAGCAGCACCAGCAATACCAGCAGCAGCAGCAACAACAGTATCAGCGCCAGCAGCAAGACCAACTGCAGCAACAGCAGCAGCAACAATATCAGCGTCAGCAGCAGCAGCCGCAGCAGCAGCAGCAGCAATATCAGCTCCAGCAGCAGCAGCACCAACACCAGCAGCAGCAGCAGCAGCAGCAGCAGCAGCAGCAGCAGCAGCAGCAGCAACAGGTGCGAGAAGGTGCGGCAAAGCCGATGCTTCTGGGATCCTTCCTGCCTTTCATGCAGCGAAAAGCTTCCAGCGGAGGGACGGCAATAACAGGCTCAGCAGCAGCAGCAGCAGCAGCAGTGCCGCTGGGAGCTAGCACCACTGGTCCCACTGCTGCCAGTTGCAGCGGTGGCGCTTGTACGAGCCGTCGCGTTGCAAGCTCACACAGCCACAGTCACACCCACAGCCACAACCACTGTGGTGATGGTCACGGGGCGTGCAGCTGCATGCAGCATGGTGGCGCGCGTGGCGGTGCCAGTGGGCACCTCGTGCCGCCAGTGCTACAACCGCCGCTACAGGCAGCCCCGCCACAGGTGAAACTACAGCAGCCGCCGGTGCAGCAACAGCCGCCGTTTCAGATGCAGCAGCTGCCACAGCAGCAGCAAGGGCAACAGGCGGGCAGCAGCAACAGCAGGGCGGGACAAGCAGCAGGACGCAGCGGCTTTGGCAGCAGCGTGGACACGTCAGTGGTCCGAATCCCCCTCGTCTCGCCTTCCCCTCCTCCCTCCACACCTGCTGTTCCTCCTGCCTTTGCCCGTCCTCCTCTGCCTCCTCCTCCTCCTGCTCCTGCCGGTCCTGCCATGCCTATTGGTCCAAGCTCATGCCCGGGAATAACTGGGAATAACAGCATGAGCGCCAATAACTTTAATAATAATAACAATAGTAATGGCATGGTGGTTCTCAGCGGCAACAACGGCGCAAATAACGTGGGCGGCGGGACGAGCAACAGGGCTGCGTCAGCCAATCACATGCATGCAGCCTGCACCTGCTGCGCTGGTACCGCTGCTGCTCCTGCTGGTGCAGGTGCTGCTGGTGCTGGTGGTGCTGCTGCTGGTGGCCCAGCTTCCTCGTCCCTTCCTCCTCTCACTCGCTCACACTCTGCCTCCTACGCTCCGGCAAGCCAGCCCCGACCATCCCACGCCCAGCATCCCTTGTCCCACTCTCAATCCTTCTCCCACACAGCCACACCGCAAGGCTGGCATCCCAACAACATGGGAGTCAATAACACGGAAACCAGTATCACTAAGAGCACCCCCAACAGCATTGGTAACAGCATTGGTAACAGCATTGGTAACAGTAACAGTAACGGATATAACGGCATGTCTGCTCCTCCGAGGACTCCTGCAGGGACCCCCTCCGCAGGGCCACCCTTCTCCTCTCCTGCCCCTGCCCCTGCTCCTGCTCCTGCTGCTGATGCTTCTGCTGCTCCGAACGCTCCTAGAGCTTCTTCTAACTCGCCATCACTGGCAGCAGCAGCAGCAGCAGCAGCAGCACCAGCGGCGGCAACAGCAGCAGGGTCGCCTGCTTTCTCCAACGCCAGCACCCCTGTTATTGCCGCCGCCGCTGCTCCCCGTGCTCCGCCCACTCCCCTCTCTCACGCGCCCCTCTCCCTCCCTGCTTCTCGCTTCGGCAGCGGCGGCAACGGCAGCAGCAGCGCGTATCAGAGCAGCAACGGCAGCACCCCACACAGTAGTGGCGCTCCCTACAGCGGCAGCCACACCCCCAGAGGTACCCCCTTGCTGGTCCCCTCTCGCTCCCTGCCTCCCCCGGCGCTCGACCACTCCTCCCTCGCGCCCCTCACCCTGCAGCAGCAGCGACCAATGCACAGCCAGCAGCAGCAGCACCCGCAGCAGCCGCCGCAGCAGGTGCAGCAGCCCCACCAGCAGCCCCAGAAGCAGCAGCAGCAGCCACAGCAGCAGCCACAGCAGTCCCAAACGCTGCCCCCTCCCCCCTCTCGCCCTCTCCTCTCAACGCACCCTGCCCTCCTCCGCTCCCCATCAGCACCACCTTGCACTCCCCCATCCGCCACCACTTCAACCATCACAGCTGCTCCAACCGCCCCTGCCCCTCCTGCTGCTCCTGCAGCTCCTGCTACTCGCGCCCTGGTCCTCCCACCCCTGACTGCTGCACCTTCAGCAGCCCGTCCCCAAGACGTCAGCAGGCATGCCAGCAGCACTGGCAACGCACCCATGACTGTGAAGGAAGAAGCGACCGGGGCAGGCTCACCTGGGGGAGGTGCAGGTGCCTCTAGAGCAGGTGCATCTGTGGACCTGACGTGCGAGGAGGACGAATTGAAACTGAGCCTGGATGCTGCAGAGGAGACTGAGGGTGGGGGGGCAGCAGCAGGAGCAGGAGGAGGAAAGGGAGGCGTAGTCAAGCAAGCAACATTGACGAACGACCCTAACCCCGCAGGGCACAGCGACACGGTGATGCAGCTGCAGTACGCGGGAGGCAACGGGCCGCTGGGCTTTGGATACAAGATGGTTCCGCGCAGCGCTTCAATGTCCACCACCCCTTCCTCCCTCCCCTCCCTGGGCGCTGGCGGTGGCTCATCAGCAACAGGTTCGGCCTCAGCTGCTGCTGCTGCTGCTGCTGCACAAGCGGCACGGGGAGCGGGCGACATGGGCGGGTTTATGGATGATATGGAGGAGGATGATGACGATGACATGATGGGGGGAGGATCAGGGTACAGCCGCAAGCGGGGGTTTGTGCAGAACGCTGCGGCGTCCGCAGCGAGGAAGAGGCGGCACGACATGAACCACCGCGTCAAGCGCCTGCTGGACCTCGTGCCCGTCTCCAATAAGGTAATTTACCCTCTGAGTGTGATTATCCTCGAGCCCATTCTAAATATGTGATTTATCCTTGTGCCTAGCTCCAATGAACTTATCTACCCTCTTTCCAGCTTTTATTAGTGCCCGTGCTCGCGGGTCTCTTGATGCTGTTTCAGCTGCTCATGCCCCCTTTCTCTCCCTTTCCTTTCTCCCCGTTTCCTTGTCTCTCCCCCACTACCCTACTCCCCAACGCCACAGAGGGACACGGCAGCCATGCTGCTGGAGGTGATACAGCTAGTGCAGTCCACCATCGCTCAGATCAAGGTACGCACAACCATCCATTCTTGTCTCGTCTGCTGCCTCATAGGTTTCTTTCTCCTCTTCTCACGACGTGCTTGCCCCATGAAGGGCTGCTCTCACTCGTGTTTCGCAACCAGAACCTTGCTGATCTAAAAACGCCTGCTGATGTTGTTTTCTCTTGTGGTGCTTCCAGGAGATAACGCTGGGAGAGGACTGCCCGGCCGCGGAGCGTGCATGTGGGGTGTGCAAGGAGGAGCCGCTCTCGTCCCTCACCCACCACGCTCCTGCCTCCTCTGGTATCAGCCTCGCTGCCTCCGCTGCAGCCGAGAAACAACAGCAACAGCAGCAGCAGATGACGGCCAGCCAATCAGGAGCTGCCAGCACATTCTCAAACAGCACTCCCGCTGCAGCTGCCGCCGCCGCCGCTGCCCCTGCTGACTCGCAACCTCAGCAGCAGCAGCAGAGCGGGGCACTAGCACCATCAACAGCAACGTCTGCAGCTCCTGTGGAGAACTCACCCAACTCGAAGCAGAGCGCCCGGGCGGCGCAAGCTGCGAAGCTGAGGATGAGACGGAAGATGCAGCAGGCGCGGCTGGAGGCGGAGCGGAGAGGCACGGGGGGAGCGGGTGCAGGAGGGAAAGATGGTGGTAGTGGTAGGACTGGAGCGAGTGGTGGGAGTGGAGGGAATAAGGGGGGTGGAGGTGGAGGTGGTGGTGGTGAGAGGGAGAAGGGACCCATGAAGACTCTGGCAGTGAGAGGGTTTGCTATTGTTAGTGCTAAGTGTGCTAATATTGTGGCAGCTAAGGTAGTGGTTCCGGATTTTCAGGTGTAGATATGTAGTGAGCAACTACACCATCTATAGGAGATACTACGTACCACGTAGTGATTGATTGCCGTTTATACGTGATATATACCGTAGTATACGTCGCAGACACTTATAGTTCATATACTGGTATGGTTATGCATGCAGTGTACTTTGTGAACAGCTTGTAGCAATGCTGTCTTATGATACCGGTAACACAGTGACCTTTTCTACTGCCTACCACAAGTGTCATGCATGCGCCAGTGCAGCAGAGCAGCATCGAGTACCTAATGAATGACCCTATTCTCTGGCAGGCAACAGATCTTCAATTGCTGCTTCTTGGAGTGCGCATATTGGCTCCACCTTTCATTACCGTACGCTCCCTTCATCAGGACACCAGCATTCAGAAGCCGTCGTGCCCTCAACCCACGCTCAACAGCATCTTCCTCCGCTCCTCCTTCCAACTCCGGTGCTGCTGGCAGTGTCTCGCCCACGGCTAGCAACAGCTGCTCCACCCTCTCGCCTGGCAGACACAACTTACCGTACCATCAGCTGCAACAGCTGCTGGCAACGTCTCCTTTCCACTAGTGCCCTCAGCCCCCCTCAACTGCACCCTCCTCCTCCGCTCCTCCTTCCAGCTCTGGTGCTGCTGGCAGTGTCTCGTCCACGGCTTGCAACAGCTGCTCCACCCTCTCGCCTGGCAGACGCATCTCACAGTCTGCTATGATCTGCCATGGTGGGAGTGATGGAGATGATAAGAGAGGAAGACTGGACAAGAGGGGACGAGATGCTCAAGAGGCGGCAAAGGAAAGATATAATCTACTCGTAACGAATGGCTGTCTGTGTGAGTCATTCACACGGATTGTGATAATATCAGGTGTGCCTGTAGAGAATCACCGCCACATACCAGGTGTGCTTCTACAGGTTGGGAAGGCCTCAGGTTCACCAGCTGCAGCGTTTCCATCCGCGTCAGTCCAAAAGTCGCTGCCCGATCCGCGCACGCAGCCACAGCCGCCCGCGTCTGGGTGGCGGCAGGGGCGGCGCAAAGGTAGGTGTAGACCTGGCACTCTATGGCTGCCGGCCCCATGCCGCCCTGTGACACGTCCACTGCCCCCATGGCCCCCCGGTCTGTGAGCAGCTCAAACACCTCGTGGTTTGTTAATAGGCCCGCACATGGCTGCAGGCTGTGTGGTGCATGGGAGGGGGGGGAATGAGAGAGGGAAATAAGAGGGAGAGGGGGTACTTGGAAGTGTTGACGGTGGGAAGGGGGAATGACGGGGGAATGGGAGGGGAACATGTAGGGGGAATTGAAGAGGGGGGGGGGGTTGGTTAGGGGGAATGGGAGAGTGGAACGGAAAGGTGGACGAGAGAGGGGAATACGAGGGAGGGGAAAGGGATCAACAATGTGGGGGCGACTGGAAAATGGGTGGGAAGGGGGGATGGGAGGGGGAACGGGAGGGGTGAACGGGGAATGGGAGGAGGAATGGAAGGGCGGGGAAGGGAGGGGAGATGGAAGAGGGAATAAGTGGTGTGGACTGGAGGGCGGAATCGGAGAGGGGGGAACTGATGAGAAATGGGAAGGGGGATTGGGAGAGAGGAATGGTTGGGGGGGTATAAGAGGTGGGATGAGAGGGGGGAATAGGAGGAGGAAACAAGACCAGCGTACTTCTGAGCGCCCATGCCTCTGCGCGCCCATGCTTCTGTGCGCCTATGCCTCTGCGCGCCCATGCTTCTGTGCGCCTATGCCTCTGCGCGCCCATGCTTCTGTGCGCCTATGCCTCTGCGCGCCCATGCTTCTGTGCGCCTATGTCTCTGCGCGCCCATGCCTCTGCGCGCCCATGCCTCTGCGCGCCCATGCTTCTGTTAGCCTATGTCTGGCTCACACTTTCATTGCCTCGGTCGCGTCGCGGGATGGCCTTTCCAGAGGAGTTCGACGGCGCTTCTGATAGAAAACCTGCCTCCGTTTATTGAGAGAACTTCCGTTGCGGCATCGCCAACCTACAGGGTTACGCATGCAACAAGTTTCCTGTCTTGGCTTATTTGTTTTCAACTACGGGCATCTGGCCTATTTCAGCGACTCGTTTACGACGGTTACGGCAGAAAAAGTAGCGCGAAACAGAGTCGCGCACTTGGAGGTTGCGATTAGGACGCGGCACCTGTTTTCAAATTGGCACGATCGAAGAAGGATCGGGGCCTCACATCGATCTTGCCACGATCGATGGGCACACCGGTGTGCCCAACTGCCTTTTGCGATCGCCTGGACACACCGAGCCTCAGGTGACACGATCGCAGATTTCTGGGGCAAAAATGCCACGATCTCCACAATTTCACGATCGATGTGAGGGCGCAGGCACATCGATCTTGCGAGCCAAAGGTGACACCTTTTTGCTGACATATCTACTGTTAATAAACGAAAATATGCGACAAAGGATACCAGACCTTTGGCGACGTCGTCAAAATACTGTAGACCCGACACATCGATCCCCGCGAGGATCGATCGTGGAAATTTGAAAACAGGTGCCGCGTCCTTAGTTTTTGGTTCAATCGTGCCCCATGAGTGTCGCACTCGCACGCCTCCTGGGTACAGTTCAGGGTCCATGTGATACCCGTTTTTGTTCGCTTCTGCGACATCGCAGCCGTACACTTGGCGTTTTCACAATGGTTGTGAAAGCCTAGTTCTTGGATGCCGATATGTTGCACAAGTAGAGGCGTGCAATCGAACAATGAGTAAATTATTGTACACAACTACATCTTAAAGCCAGCAGCTAAAATAGTGACCCCCCCCTTCTAGTTGGGTCCACTTGAAAACACAAGTTCGTTACGAACGTTTGAAAAGTTGACGGCCTGTGCGTTTTTACTTTTTTTTCATCCCAGACGAGTCTTGATCTGAACGGGAAACATGAGGAACTTGTTTACAAATCTTATTGGTGGCGACTTTCACCCACATTCGTATGCGAATTTGGCGCAAGGCTGTAATCCCACATTTAACATAGCAGCCGTCGTAACTTCACAAGAATTCCCATATGCAAAAAAAAGCGCACACACAGGCAAAATCCAGCGCACAGGCAAAACTCGCAAAATCCTGCGCGAACACTGGCATGATCAAGCAAAATCCATGGCACACACAGGTGAAATCAGGCGAAGAAGATATAAATAAAGAAATTAATGATGTACGAAAAGAGAAAGGGCGACGGGACGGTTGATTGGTCGACGGCGAAGAGAAGGGACTGGGGACAAGGGGGCTGACGGGAGAGGAGGGGAGAGAGGGGGAACGACGGGATGGGAGGGGAGAAGGGAAAAACGACGGGATAGGAAGGAAGAGAGGAGGAACGACGGGATGGGAGGGGAGAGAGGAAGAAAGACGGGATGGGAGGGTAGAGCGGAGGAACGACGGGATGGGAGGGTAGAGAGGAACGACGGGATGCGGGGAGGGAAGACAGATTGTGAGGGGAGGGAGGAAGGGCGCGGAGAGGGCATTGCATAGCAAGAGCGAAGGGCGGATTGGCCGACGATGGAGAGCGTTTCAGAGATTAATGATTGGGGAGAAGAGACGAAAGGCGATGGGAAGGCATTTCGGGACGAGCACGAGGGCGACGAGGTCGGTGATGGGAAGGGAGAGAGGAAGGGCGCGGGGAGAGCGTTTGAGTGCGAGCGCGAAGGCGACCAGGCAGGCGATGGGAGGAGAAAATGGGCGGGGGACGAGAAGGCGTTTCGTGGCGAGCGGGAAGGCGATGGGGTGGGTGATGGTGGGTGGGAGAGGAATTTGCGACGGCTGCATCTAAGGCTACGAGAAGGGAGGGGAGAGAGCAAGAGCGACGGCAAGGGAGGGGAGAGAGATAGAGCGACGGTAAGGGAGGGGAGAGAGATAGAGCGACGGGATGGGAGGGGAGAGAGATAGAGCGACGGAAAGGGAGGGGAGAGAGATAGAGCGACGGGAAGGGAGGGGAGAGAGATAGAGCGACGGGAAGGGAGGGGAGAGAGATAGAGCGATGGGATGGGAGGGGAGAGAGATAGAGCGACGGGATGGGAGGGGAGAGAGATAGAGCGACGGAAAGGGATGGGAGAAGGCGATTGCAACGGAAAGGGAGCGGCGAGAGAGAGAGCGACGGGAAGGGAGAGGAGAAGGCGATTTGTTCAGGAAAGGGAGCGGCGAGAGAGAGAGAGAGCGACGCGCAGGGAGCAGCGAGAGAGAGAGCGCGACGGGAAGGGAGCGGCGAGAGAGAGAGCGACGGGAAGGGAGGGGAGAGAGCAAGAGCGACGGGATGGGAGGGGAGAGAGATAGAGCGACGGGATGGGAGGGGAGAGAGATAGAGCGACGGAAAGGGATGGGAGAAGGCGATTGCAACGGAAAGGGAGCGGCGAGAGAGAGAGCGACGGGAAGGGAGAGGAGAAGGCGATTTGTTCAGGAAAGGGAGCGGCGAGAGAGAGAGCGACGCGCAGGGAGCAGCGAGAGAGAGAGCGCGACAGGAAGGGAGCGGCGAGAGAGAGAGCGACGGGAAGGGAGGGGAGAGAGCAAGAGCGACGGGAAGGGAGGGGAGAGAGATAGAGCGACGGGAAGGGAGGGGAGAGAGATAGAGCGACGGGAAGGGATGGGAGAAGGCGATTGCAACGGAAAGGGAGCGGCGAGAGAGAGAGCGACGAGAAGGGAGAGGAGAAGGCGATTGGTTCAGGAAAGGGAGCGGCGAGAGAGAGATTTGCGACGGGAAAATCGCGAGGGTGATTGGAGGAGAGGGGTAATGGAGATGACGGTAGGAGGGCGACGGGACGTCGACGGGACGGACGACATGATCGCGACGCGACGGTCGATGGGACGGCGTCAGGATGGTCGATGGGACGGCGTCAGGACGGTCGATCGGAACGGGAGGGCGAGCGAGATGAGATGGGAAGGCGGAGAGAGGGCATTCGAAACGGCACAAAGTACTACACAACCATGCCAGCTTCACTACGCGTCTAAATTGAAACAACAACGGCCTAAGTTGACGGTTCGATGGCTAGACATGCTACACACAACTAAGAAGCTGAGATGTATGATCGGAAGAACTAGTAGTTGTTCACCCAGACCCAACTTGAACCCCAAGCTGGGCCCAAAATCGCAAGGACGTGCATGAGCGATCGCAATGCTAGTGTTGTGCAGCTTCCAAAACTGATATGCGACGCCTGACGTGCTGTGTTCCTTCTTTTGGTTTTGGCGGGAACCAATCAGATGTGTTCGATCTGCAAAAAACGCTCTCAATGAAACACTGGAAACTTGTCGGTTTGGTTCCAAAATTGTTTCGCACGGCAAGCCCTCTTTCAAGTTGGCGTTGGGTTCACTATTTTGCATTTCGGTTTTAACAGATTTGGGTATACTTATTAGTTATAACAATGGTAAAGGGGGGTTACGAGCTGTATAGATCCAATGGAAGAATGCAGGCGTGTGTGGATTGGCGAAGAGTTTGCCCAAGTGATGGGGCAGGGATGCGACTAGGCTGTCTGTAAAACAGTTACACGCATCAAGTGCGCACAACACAACTTGCACAACAGCTACCGTACATTGGAATCGGCTTTTCTCTCGGCCAGGCAGGTCTATACATAGCTGTACACGAATGGCATACCGTAGGTTTACCCCTTGTGCTCCACCCTGCACTCAACACAGCATCCGCCCAGCAGCACCACCATCCCTACTGGCAGCAGCAGCAGCAGCAGCCGTGGTGCCACCCGGAAAGGGCTGCTTCTGTGGCGACGAGGACCATGGGCTTGTGGGGTCGCATCGCACCGAAGGGCTTGTGGGGTGGCACTGAAGGGCTAGTCACACATAAGGTAACTCTTGCGTTCCCTGCATCCGACACAATATCCTCCCCGTTGCCGCCCCCGTTCCAGCATCATGCCTCCCTACTTGGCAGCAGCAGCAGCAGCTGCACCAGGCGGGGGTCTCTGCCGGCCATCAGGAATGGCAATGAGAACCATGGGCTTGTGTGGGCGCACAAGCGGCTGGTCACAGATGTAGTAGCCCTTGCGCTCCAGCTGTATGATGTCCCCCCGCTGCAGGTTGCGCATGTTGGCATCTCCCACCGCCGCCTCCTCCCACCGCGTGCGCGGGTTGAGTGCCGCCAGGAAGTCATCTCCCTCGTCCAACTGGGAGACGCACAGAGGGAGGGAGGGGGGGTAGTGGGGAGAGGGATGGAAGTGAGGGAGAGAGGGAGGAGAGGGAGAGGGAAATATCACCTTACATGCTTCCTAACCACCGCACCTTCCTCTTGTAACCATCCCACCTTCTTCATTACTACCGCACCACATTCGTAACCACAGCACCGGTGCACCTTCTTGCTGATGTGAGGTAGTCCAGCCCCACGAGAGAGGTGGTGGGAGAGAGAGAGAGAGAGAGAGAGAGAGAGAGAGAGAGAGAGAGAGAGAGAGAGAGAGAGAGAGGAGAGGGGATTCGTCACCGTACCACCGCACCTCCTTTGTAACCACCATGCAGCAGGTCGCACCTTCTTCTTGGTGATGAGGTAGTCCAGCTCCACGAGGGTGAGAGGCACGAGCTCATCACTTCATGTCGCACCGCACCTTATCTGTAACCACCGTACCACCACACCATCCCACCATCCCACCTTCTTCTTGGTGATGAGGTAGTCCAGCTCCACGAGGGTGAGAGGCACGAGCTCATCGCTGTCTGCCAGCCACGTCAGCTTCAGCTTTGTCGTCTTCACCGACCCCTCCAGATGCAGCACCCCCTCCATCGCCTCCACCTCCCCCTCGCCCTCCCCTCCCCCCTCCTTCGCTCCCCCTTCCCCCTCCCCTCCCGCCCGCATGGTCTTGCGCTGCACGATGGCATTGCCCCAGTCCATGAGAGTCACCTCCTCGTTCTCTTTGATCACGCGCGCGTCAGCCCTCTCCAGCCACACGCGCCGAGAGAACACAGTCGCCTTCATGCCCGCAGGGGGGTGCTTCTTGTGCCGCGGCAGCACGCGCACAAAGGGGGTGTCGGGCCCGTTGGTGAGGGTGAGCGGCACGCGCGCGGCGAGGAGGATGGCGGTGTGGCGCGGGCACACGGGGTCGATCAGCTTCTTGTTGATCGTCCACAGCTTGTCCATCTCCATTAGGTTCAGATTCTTGGATGCACCCTGGGAGGGTGAGAGGCAGCGAGGAACGAAGTGAGAAAGTGACAAGGATCCATCACGCCATCGCACATCGTCCACAGCTTGTCCATCTCCATCAGGTTCAGGTTCTTGCACGCTCCCTGCCAGGGGAAGGTGGATGGGGAGGAAGGGGTTGAGGGGGGGACAAGAGGCGAGGGAGGGAGTGAGGGAAAGAGACGGATGTGCCACTCCTTGTTGATCGTCCACAACTTGTCCATCTCCGTCAGGTTCAGGTTCTTAGATGCACCCTGGGAGGGGGAGGAGATGAGGGAAAGAGCGAGTGAAGCATGGAGTGAGGGAACAAGAACGAACTATCACCCCATCACCGATCATGCTGACCACCGATAATAATGAAGCATGGTCGTTCTCAGTGACCACACATGCAACCATGATTCATGAAATCCCGACTCGTCGCCTCGCCACTCGAAATGCAAGATCACATACGAACTGGGTCTCAGAAGTTTATCTGCCTTACCACCCGCAGAATCTATTTGTGCTCAAGCTGCAAGTCCTTGCGGTCGGTCTTACAGTACATGCTATGCTGCAAAGTGACAAGGCTTGCGTGGCACCTCAAGTCTCAATCGACACATAGTGAAGCGGGCCAGCCCACCTTTGCCCCCTGCCTTAAAGCCCACTTCAAGCCCACCTTAAGCCCACAAGCCCACTTCAAGCCCACTTTAAGCCCACTTCATGAATACATGCGAGAGAATGAAGTGCTTAAAGCCCACTCTGTGGATACCTGTGAGAGATCCAACTGTTTGAGAGTGGGCACGGTGAGCCCCCTCCTGAGCATGCCCTGCACTGTGGGGAAGCATGGTCTAACCCACCCATGCACCCTGCCTTAAAGCCCACCCTCCCACCCCACCATAACCTCACCTGAGCGAGAATGAACTGAATCAATACAGGCACAGTGAGCCCGCTTCTGAGCATGCCTGCACGGTGGGGAAGCGAGGGTCATCCCACCCGTCCACCTTACCCTTGAAGCCCACTCGAAGCCCACCCTAACCCACTTTATGGATACCTGTGAGAGAATGAATTGCTTGAGAGCAGGCACGGTGAGCCCGCGTCTGAGCATGCCCTGCACGGTGGGGAAGCGCGGGTCGTCCCACCCGGTGACACGGCCGTTGTCCACGAACCACGCGAGCTTGCGCTTGGACAGCAGCGTGTACACGAAGTTGAGTCGCGAGAAGTCCCACACCTCCACTCGCCGCAACCCCATGTCCTGCAGTCAATCAGGACACAAAGGTGGCATGAGGAGAGGACGGGTGGGGTGAGGAGTGGCTTAGAGGCGTCTTTGATTTGAAGTCGTCAGCCTCCCAGTCTACTTGCCACGATGCCATGTTCTGCAGTCAGTCAGTCAGTGAGTGCAAGGTAGGGATGAGCAAGGTGGCGAACACCTGTTCGGTTCGCCTCGAACATGTTCGAGGCGAACCGAACAGGTTTTGTTTTTCAGCTTAAATCGTTCGCCCGAACGTGTTCGAGGTTCGCCTGAACACGTTCGTGTTCGTGGCGCTGCTGCAGAACGCCCCGTGGCGAACACGAACGTGTTCGAGGTTCGCCCGAACACGCCTCCACAGGCGAACAGCGAACACCTGTTTTTGCCTAAACTGTTCGCCGAACCGAACAGTGTTCGGTTCGGCAAAAGAGGGTGTTCGACAAGGGGCGAACACGAACATGTTCGTGTTCGCCCTTTGCTCATCCCTAGTGCAAGGTGAAGGCAAGGGGATGATGGGTGGCCCAGGGTCTGGGACAATGGTGGAGGTGAAGTAGGCTTGCGCTTGGACAGGACAGCAGCGTGTATGTACACAAAGTTGAGGCGCGAGACGACGACAAGTCCCACACCTCCACTCGTCGCTCGCTCGCAGCCCCATGTCCTGCAGCCAGTCAGGACAGAAGAGTGGCGTACAGAGGTTTGCAGGGGACAGAAAGTTCAGATGCCGGGAATATTTCCGGCGGGAGTAGAACGAAGACCAACAACACTCCTCGCCCCTCACTACCTACCTCCTCCCACCCACCCCTCCACGTACCTCCAGCACGCGGTCGTACTGCTCAATGCGGTCGTATCTCACTACCACTCCACTCCCCTCGCCACCCCTCTCTCCACCGCTCTCCACCCCTCCCCACCCCTGCACGTACCTCCAGCAAGCGGTAATACTGCTCGTTGCGGTCGTACCTCACTACCACCACACTCCTCTCCCCATCCCTCCCCATCCCTCCCCATCCCTCCCCACCGCTCCACACACCTCCAGCACGCGGTAGTACTGCTCGTTGCGGTCGTGGTACTCGGAGGAGCGCAGCGCGTGGGTGACGCCCTCGATGCTGTCCACGTAGGGGCATGCAAAGTCGTACGTGGGGTACGCCTTGTACTTGGTGCCCGTGCGCAGATGGGGGAGACCAGATGCGTCCACTCTGAAGTACACTGGATCACGTAGGGTCTTGTTCACTGCCTGGAGGGGCAGCGAGAGCAGGGGGGAGAAGGGAAGAGGAAAAAGAGGGCGTGGGTGACGCCCTCAATGCTGTCCACGTAGGGGCACGCAAAGTCGTACGTGGGGTACGCCTTGTACTTGGTGCCCGTGCGCAGATGGGGCAGGCCGGATGCATCCACTCTGAAGTACACAGGGTCGCGCAGGGTCTTGTTCACTGCCTGGAGGGGTGGAGGGGGTATAGGAGGAAAGGCGGGAAAAAAGAGCAGAGAAGAGACGGGAAAAGGAGGAATAGAGTGAGTGAGTGGAGTTAGAGCTGACTGGGAAGGGACCAGAGTCTCCGTGTGTCCACATATGGGCATGCAGAGTCGTACATGGGGTACGCCTTGTACTTGGTCCCCGTGCGCAGATGGGGCAGCCCCGACGCATCCACTCTGAAGTATACCGGGTCGCGTAGGGTCTTGTTCACTGCCTGGAATGGGAGAAGGGGAGACAGGAGGAAAGGGAGGGGAGAGAGAGACAGGGAGCGAGAGAAGGAGAGAGAAGGGGAGGGGGGAAAGAGCGAGAGTGAGAGTGAGTGGAGCTGGAGGCACATCCCTCATGCCCCACTCGCCCCTCACTCCCATGCACCTGCATGAGGAGGAAGCTTCCCAATCGCCACGTGCACCTGCATGTCCCACTTGCCCGCAATCCCACACACTCACACTGCCAGGCCTTCTCGTCCGCGCTGCCACCTACCTGCATGTCCCACGTGGCGCGCACAGCACACAGCATGCCTTGCCTCAAACTGCATTGCAGCATCGCCGCCCGCAGCTGCCTGCAAGGTGTGCTGTGCACGCCCTCTTACACACCTTTAACCCTTTCAACGCTCTTATCCTCCACATCTCACTTGAATGACACACCACTGCATGCCCCAGCCCACTTGTCCACCATCCCACGAACCAGCTCGCCCGCCACCTACTCGCATGTCCCATTTGGCGCGCAGCGCACGCAGCACTATTTGTCCACATCGCTGCCTGCCCTTGAGCATCTCCGTACACAGCTGCAGGTTGCGCTCCCCACTGTGCTGTGCTCTCTCTCCCACAGTCCCACCACCTTTACCCTTGTCAATGCTTTTAACCTCCTCAACTCCCTTCAACCACACGCACCTGCATGTCCCACTTGGCGCGGACGCAGCACTCCTTGCCCACATCGCTGCCTTTCAGCATCTCCGCCCACAGCTCCAGGTTGCGCTCTATGCTGTGCCCCCGGCACGCCGACTCGGTGCCCACCATGCGCTCCTCCCGCATCTGCTCCTTGGGCGTGCTGTCCACGTATGCCTTCCCCTCGCGAATCAGCTTCTCACACATCGCCTGCAGGGGGGAAGAGGTGCGGGGCGAGGGTGCTTTTGAGTCAACTCAGAGGCCGTCACAACACCATGCGCTCCTCCCTCATCTGCTCCTTGGGCGTGCTGTCCACATACGCCTTGCCCTCGCGAATCAGCTTCTCACACATGGCCTGACGAGGTGAACGGGGGAGGGAGGAGGGGAGACGGAGGAGGAGGGAGGTAAGGGAATGTAGGGGTGGGATGCGGAACAGGGGGAGAGATAACAGACACTCAAGCCCACGGGAAGGGAGAAAACAGTGAAGGCAGGTGAGCTTCGTACAATCCACTAACAATAAACCAATCAGAGCAGTCAGGCGTGTGAGCGATCATCCCCACTGCTCACTCCCACCCCTGTGCCCCTACCAACTCACAATCAGCCCATCGAAGTAGTCCGAGGTGTGGGTGATCTTGTCCCACGTGAGCCCCAGACGCGCCATGTCATGTCCGCCAGAATGCTCTCCACTCCACAAAATAAACCCGTCCTTCCTTCACTCAACACAACACAACAATGCCCCGTGCCTCATGCCTTGCAGCACCAGCACCGGTAGTACCACCCGTCACCCGACGTACCACCTCACTCACAACAAACCCATCCATCACACCAGCATGGGCAGCCAGCCCTCCCCCCCCTATCCCCCTCCCCTCCCCCAGCCCCCCTTCTCCCCCCACCCCCACACCAACTCACAATGAGCCCATCGAAGTAATCAGACGTGTGGGTGATCGTGTCCCACGTGAGGCCCAACCTCGCCATATCAGCCAGAATGCTCTCCACGAATTCGTCCTTCTCCTTGCTGGGGTTGGTGTCGTCAAACCGCACCAGCATCTTCCCGCCGTACTTCTCCGCAAAGAACTGGTTCATCAGAGCCGCCTTCGCGTGCCCGATGTGCATAAACCCGCTGGGCTCAGGCGGAAACCGGGTTACCACCTGCCCATACACCGCCCCTGGAAGCTCCAGCTCCGCTGGCTTGTCTCCCCCCCCTCCCCCTCCCCCTGTGCTTCCGCCTGCCCCCCCTGCCGCCCCCCCACCGCCATCTCCCTTCTCCTCCTTCCCCTTGCCGCCGCCCTTGCCTGCTTCCTCGCCCGCGCCTGGCCCCTTCTTGGCTGCCGAGGCTAAGGCTTGGGCGGCCTTCCTGCTGAAGGGCAGCAGGCTCGGGGCGAGGTCGGGAGCTTCGGCGGAGACGGTGTTGAACCAGCGGATGAGGTTCGGGTACTTGGCTGTGGGCGACCGGCGTATGCTGTCCCACCGCTGCCCTGTGGCTGCCGTGTCACCGCGTGCACGGGAGTAATGGGAGGTAGGTACGTTGTTGGTACTACACAGAACACTTCAGTTCAGTGCACACACGCTGATTCACGCATATATATTGGTCAACAAACGAGTTATGATTTTCGAACAGCAGGAACGATGCGCTGCGCTGCGCTGTGCTGTGCTGTGCTGTGCTGCGCTGTGCTGTGGCGACGTCGGCGATGGAGAGATCATAGGAGACAAAGAAGGAAGGATATTCCAAGGGAAACCATGCCATGCTGCCATGCCAAGTGCGGTGTGCTGTGCTGCACGTACCAAAGAGGCCAGCATAGATGGCGACATCAGCGATGGAGAGGTCATAGGAGACAAAGAAGGTGCGCGCGGCGAGGTAGCTGTTGAGGTACGCGCACACACGCTCAAACTCGGAGCCGATGCCCAGAGTTGGTGCATAATCGACCACCTCGTCCACCTGGTGGGTGCAGTGCGGTGCGGAGGGGTGTGAGGTGGTGGGAAGCAACGGAGCCGTGCATGGGGGTGTGAGGTGGTGGGAAGAAGCAGGAGGTAGGCGTTGAGGCACGAGCAGATGCGTGTAAGTTGGTTAAGCGGCTGCGAGCCCACGCCGACGGTAGGTGCGCAGACAACCATGTCGTCGACCTAACGACGTGGGCTGTGGTGTTATGGAAAAGGCGAAACGTTTCAAGATGCAGCGGAAATTAACACCCTAATAGAGAAGGGCGACGAACGACGGAACCCGCAAGCGAGTCAGCGGCTAAGGCTGTACGCTGAGAGCATCGCAGCTGAGCCAGCTGGCATTCAGCAATTCGCCCCTGCTGACCCACCTGGCACGCGGCGATTGGATCTGAGCCGCCGTAGAAGCCCTCCCGCTGCGCGACGCGGCCGAAATAGCGGAGGATGGTGCCGGCCCCCCGTAGCTCTTCGCTGATTGGTTGCGAGGTGAGGCGACGCGGGGAGGGAGGAACGTAGGAGAAAAACGAGAGGAAAACGGACGAATGGGAGGGAGCAAGGGGTAACTTTTCAGTCGACTCAGAAGTCAGCTCGGTACAAAGGCATGACAATGACGGCGACGATGGAAGACATCGAAGGGTTTCACGCCTATCGGTACCGAGTCGATAGAAGAGGTTTCAGGGGGCAGATGTAACGCGATGCACGGGTTTTACGGAGATGGGATAAGCAAGGATCATGAGGGAATAGGGCGAAAGGGATGTCAAATGGTCCGGTAGACAAGGCGAAAGAAGCTTCTATTGTTCTGTGAAGCTTCGATGGGGTGAAGAATGAGGGAGACGAGGAGGCGTGCAGATGTTGGAGGCGGTAGGGCGGCCACGGAGGGCGAGGAAAAGGAGAGCGAGGCGAGGAGTGCGAGGGGATGGTCACAATCGGCTCAGACTGCGACAGACTATGCTATGACGGCAATTTATAGGGGAATCTGACGGAAATTGTAAGGGAAGTGGGTATTCTGGTCGAATGCGGAGGCAGGTGGCCGGATCTGCTCCAGAGAGGGTCTAAGGTAGCGAGGGAGCGTACCCCGTGGGGAGGTACAGCACGGGCGGGGTGCTTCCAGACAGGCTCGCGTCGACGGCGGCATCGATCTCGATCTTAGCAATAGCCGCCGCTCCGATCGCCGCCAGAGGCGCCGCGTCTTGCGGAAACCGGAGGACAGATTTATTAGCCATTTTGGCACAAGGGAGTGGCAGGCGAGAAAGGGTTTTGGAGAAACTTGCTCCGTTGTGGAGTTCCTCGGTCAGCTCCTTTCAACTCTTGTTACGTACTTCAGTCCTGGTTCAATTTAGACACGGTGTACTTGTGCCCTCTTATATAACTAGACCCATGAATCAAGCTAACCAATCATAGATATACATGTGCATGCTTCTTCATGGCCAGGACTATTAGAAATCTTAAAACTTTCTGCATCAGATTTACAGAATGTCAACCCTGTTCATGTACAATCACCTTTCTCTAACAGCCAACTTTCACGTCTGTGTGCTGCTCCACCCAAGGGCAGTGACGCCACCGTGCGTCTTCTAACGTGTGTGAGAATCGCAATCTCCCGCCCCTCACACCAGTCTTCCCAATCCACCGCCACCACACCGACATGCCTCCGCATCACAGCGGCGGCTCATTGGGCCGTGGCAGGCTGCAGCGGCACTGGGAGGCGCTGGTGGTTCCCTGGAAGCAGCGCCTTTTCAGGTGCCTTAAACGCCGACCTGCACTCACACGTCATGCATCACCGCAGCGGCTTCAGTGGGCCGTGGCAAACAGCAGCAGCAGCAGCAGCAGCAGCACTGGCAGCACCGGTTGTTCCCAGGAAGCGGCAACTTCTAAGCGCCTAAGAGTCCGACCTGCCCTCACACATCGCACATCACCACAGCGGCTTCAGTGGGCCGTGGCAGGCAGCCGCAGCAGCACTGGCAGCACCAGTGGTTCCCATCCCAGGAAGCAGCAACTTTGGCCTCACACATGATGCATCACAAGAGCAGCTGCAACGAGCCCTGGCAGGCAGCGTTGGTGCTGAGAGCGCTGGTGGATTCTGGAAAGTGGCGACTTTTCAGGCACCTCCAACACCGACCTGCATCACAGCAGCAGCTCCAGTGGGCTCTGGCAGGCAGCGTTCGCGCTGAGAGCACTGGTAATTTCCAGGAAGCGGCGGGCGGCAGTGTCACGGAGGGCTGGCTGCTCCGCCACGTGGCACAGCACTGCCTGCAGGTGGCGTGCGTCCCTCTCCCGGGCAAGCTCCTGAGGGGAAGGGGGGAGATAAGGCAAGGGAGAAGGGAATTCTTGAGTTGGCTAAGAAAGCATCCCTGGCACAGCACTGCCTGCAGGTGACGTGTCCCTCTCGGGGCGAGCTCCTGAGGGAGGAGCATTGCTCTGACCTGCCCGAGACGGACGGGGTGTGAGTGACGGGGTGTGAGTGACCGGGTGTGAGTGACGGGGTGTGAGTGACGGGGTGTGAGTGACGGGGTGTGAGTGACGGGGTGTGAGTGAGTGACGGGGTGTGAGTGACGGGGTGTGAGTGACGGGGGTGTGAGTGACGGGGTGTGGGTGACGGGGTGTGAGTGGCGGGGTGTGAGTGACTGGGTGTGAGTGACGGGGTGTGAGTGACGGGGTGTGAGTGAAGGGGTGTGAGTGAGTGACGGGGTGTGAGTGACGGGGTGTGAGTGACGGGGTGTGAGTGACTGGGTGTGAGTGACGGGGTGTGAGTGACGGGGTGTGAGTGAAGGGGTGTGAGTGAGTGACGGGGTGTGAGTGACGGGGTGTGAGTGACGGGGTGTGAGTGACGGGGTGTGGGTGACTGGGTGTGACTGAGTGACGGGGTGTGAGTGACGGGGTGTGAGTGACGGGGTGTGAGTGACGGGGTGTGAGTGATGGGGTGTGAGTGACTTGGTGTGAGTGACGGGGTGTGACTGAGTGACGGGGTGTGAGTGACGGGGTGTGAGTGACGGGGTGTGGGTGACTGGGTGGGAGTGACGGGGTGTGGGTGACTGGGTGGGAGTGACGGGGTGTGGGTGACTGGGTGGGAGTGACGGGGTGTGGGTGACTGGGTGGGAGTGACGGGGTGTGGGTGACTGGGTGGGAGTGACGGGGTGGGAGTGACCTGGTGGGTGGCACTGACCTGCATGGTGTGGAAGCCGTTGGCTGCTTCCTCCAGCAGCGGCAGCACTGCAGGCACACTGCCTGGCACCGCTGCATGCAGTGGTGGTGGCAAGGGTGGTGGGTGCAGGGGTGGTGGGTGACAGAGGTTGTATGGTTAGCACATGGGGAACAGGACAATGAAGCTGTACATGGGTGCGTGACGACATGGATGCATGGCGACATGGGTGCATGGCGACATGGGTGCATGGCGACATGGGTGCATGACGACATGGCCGCATGGCGACACGGGTGCATGGCGACATGGGTGCATGACGACATGGGTGCATGACGACACGGGTGCATGGCGACATGGGTGCATGACGACATGGGTGCATGACGACATGGGTGCATGACGACATGGGTGCATGACGACATGGGTGCATGGCGACATGGGTGCATGGCGACATGGGCGCGTGGCGACATGGGTGCGTGGCGACATGGGCGCATGGCGACATGGGCGCATGGCGACATGGGCGCATGGCGACATGGGTGCATGACGACATGGGTGCATGGCGACATGGGTGCATGGCGACATGGGTGCATGGTGACATGGGTGCATGACGACATGGGTGCATCGCGACATGGGTGCATGGTGACATGGGTGCATGACGACATGGGTGCATGACGACATGGGTGCATGGCGACATGGGTGCATGACGACATGGGTGCATGGCGACATGGGTGCATGACGACATGGGTGCATAGCGACATGGGTGCATGACGACATGGGTGCATGACGACATGGGTGCATATGACGACATGGGTGCATGACGACATGGGTGCATGGCGACATGGGTGCATGACGACATGGGTGCATGGCGACATGGGTGCATGACGACATGGGTGCATGACGACACGGGTGCATGGCGACATGGGTGCATGGCGACATGGGTGCATGACGACATGGGTGCATGACGACACGGGTGCATGGCGACATGGGTGCATGGCGACATGGGTGCGTGGCGACATGGGCGCATGGCGACATGGGCGCATGGCGACATGGGCGCATGGCGACATGGGTGCATGACGACATGGGTGCATGGCGACATGGGTGCATGGCGACATGGGTGCATGGTGACATGGGTGCATGACGACATGGGTGCATCGCGACATGGGTGCATGACGACATGGGTGCATGACGACACGGGTGCATGGCGACATGGGTGCATGGCGACATGGGTGCATGACGACATGGGTGCATGACGACATGGGTGCATGACGACATGGGTGCATGGCGACATGGGTGCATGACGACATGGGTGCATGACGACATGGGTGCATGACGACATGGGTGCATGAAGACATGGGTGCATGACGACATGGGTGCATGGCGACATGGGTGCATGACGACATGGGTGCATGACGACATGGGTGCATGACGACATGGGTGCATGAAGACATGGGTGCATGACGACATGGGTGCATGACGACATGGGTGCATGACGACATGGGTGCATGGCGACATGGGTGCATGGCGACATGGGTGCATGGTGACATATACGTGAGGAGAAGAATGAATGACAACAAGCAGTGAACGCACCAGCTGGGGGAACCATGGCGAGGTGGCAGTGGGCAATGAGCATGAGGGTGCGGCAGCGCATGGTGAGACCTGCCTGCCCTAGCAGCAACGGCAGACACACCCCATCCAGCAGCCACAGTGCTTGCAATGCGCACTCCCGCCCGCTGCTGCTCTCGCCACCCCCAGCAGCAGCGCCACCCCCCGCAGCAGCAGGGCCGCAGGCAGAGGGCGCCAGGGCGAGGGTGGCCTCAGCGGCAGTGAGGGTGGCGGCGGCTTGCAGCAGCAGCGCGTGCAGGAGGGCTGCCAGGGACGCGCATGCCAGGGCGTGTGGCAGGGCAGCTGCTGGTGACCCGGCTTTCTGGTAGGCATGGGTTATGGGCATGGGCAGTGGGGGGTTGAGGAGAAAGAGAAGTGAAATGGCAGCTCGGATGCAGCAGGCTGGGATGCAGCAGGGTCACAGGGGCAGCCTGTTAAGAACCCTTACTGCCGACAACCCCAGCATCTGCCCCACAACAACCTGCTTGCCACCTGCCCCTTATTAGGTACAGCTCTATCACACCTGGTGCCTCAGGTGCCTGATCAGCAGCCAGGTGCCTCAGGAATCTCACCAGGTGCCTCAGGTGTCTCACCAAGTGCCTCAGGAATCTCATCAGGTGCCTCAGGTGCCTCACCAGGTGCTTCAGGTGACTCACCAGGTGCCTCAGGTGTCTCACCAGGTGCTTCAGGTGTCTCACCAGGTGCTTCAGGTGTCTCACCAGGTGCCTCAGGTGTCTCACCAGGTGTAGCTCCGCCATGAGCAGCAGGCAGCGCGCGTGGTACAGCTGGCGGTTGTGGCGACAGCACGCTGTGAACAGTGCCTTGGCTGCTGATGCCGCCTGGAGGGAAGGGAAAAAAGGTGGCGAATTGTGACGAGGGTGGGTTGGACGAATTGGGAAGAGGGAGGGTAGAGGTGGAAACATTGGAAGGCTGGGAGACGAGAAGGTGAAGGGGAAGGAGAAGAGGGGGGAGAGAGGTGAACAAGCGAAGGCTTTGGTGCGAAGTGTGGTAGCAAAGATCAATGGAGGGGAAAATGCAGCTCTTGGTGGGAAAGAGTGGCGGAAGATAGGCAGTAAGAAGGCGAGTGAGGGAGCGGCGCAGATGCAATTGGGCACCTGGGGGAAGCGCGAGGCGGCAATGAGGGTGTGCACGTGGCGGCACGCCGCCTCCAACTCCAAATCCATCTCCGTGCCGCCCTGCCCTCCGCCCTGCCCTGTGCCATGTTCTTCCCCGTGTGCGAGGCCGTGGCGTGTGGAAATGGCTGCCAGCTGCTCGCACACGTGCAGTGCTTGAGATGTGCGACCGCTGGTGGGGGCAGGGAAGAGGAGACGGAGTAAGAGAGGGATGGGATGAGCTATGGGGTTGGGGGAGGTGGAGGGAAGTGGTGGGTTGGGTAGCAGCCAGGATTTGCAGTGGTGGGAGGGAGAAGAGTGGACAGGAGAACAATGGCTGTTGGCATGCAGGGGGCGCTGTGTGTGATGTGAGGGGCAGCAGGTGAGAGGGAGGTGTGGTGACATGCACGCCTGAGCATCTGCCACACAGTGCGCCTCGCCTTGTGGGTGGCTTACGTGGCAAGGCAGAGGTCGTGAGTCAGCTCCAGCTCAGCAATGCGGAGGGTGGGCGAGGAGGAGAGCAGCGGATGCTGCTGCAGGCGCCGCAGGAGAGGAAGGGCCGCTGGTGGGGAGACGAGAAGAAGGGGAAGGAGTAGGGGTTTGTAAAGAGATTAGGAGATCATAAGTGAGGCTCACTGGGGTGCGCTTGTGACACTTGTACCCAGCACAGTAGGCCAGTCACCTCTCTACACACACACGAAGTACTACTTCAGTCGTCTCACCCTTTCCCTGCCTGGCACCACACCTGCGGCCCACCTGAGGACCACCTGAGCCCACCTGGGCCCACCTGAGGCCCACCTGAGCCCACCTGAGCCCACCTGAGCCCACCTGAGCCCACCTGAGCCCACCTGAGCCCACCTGAGCTCACCTGAGCCCACCTGAGCCCACCTGAAGCCCACCTGAGCCCACCTGAGCCCACCTGAGCCCACCTGAGCCCACCTGAAGCCCACCTGAGCCCACCTGAGCCCACCTGAGCCCACCTGAGCCCACCTGAAGCCCACCTGAGCCCACCTGAAGCCCACCTGAGCCCACCTGAAGCCCACCTGAAGCCCACCTGCGGCGCCAGAGTGTGCAGCTCTGTGTCGCAGCAGCTTGACTGCTGATGCTGCTAGGTCGTCCGCACTGCCAGGAGCAAGAGAAAGCGACATGATGAGGAGGGGTGGGTGCAGCGAGATTTGAGGGTGTGTCAAAGGAGGAGTCCTGAATGGTGTGCAGCGCGTGCCAGTCAATCGCCGGAGGGAAAGGAGTTGAGTCAATTCGACGAGAAGGACCCGAAGCAGTTGGTGGGAAACCGGTGCATGGGTGCATGAAGATGCATGCTTACGTGGCAGCATCAGAGTAGCAGAGCAGATGAAGCGCCGAGGTGGCAGTGGCCATGGTGGGGCTGACGTGGAAGCAGAGGAGGAGGGAGGAAACGAGAGAAAAACGTAGGTGACACAATGGGCTTGATGAGAAAGATTGGGTGCATTGCATCGCCATGCATGTCAAAAGCCAAACAAAACTCACTCACTCACACCCCTCCAACACCACTAGCCCCTTGCACACAACTCATCTGCTTGGTACATCCGCCACCACCCCCCACCACTCACCACCCATACACCTCCCATGCTGCCGCCCTCACGCCGTGACCCGCCCCCACCAGCCGCACCACAGCAGCTGGGGGAGGGGCCAGCCTCCCCGCTGCTGCCGCCGCCGCCGCCGCTGCTGGCGCCGCCGAGCCTGCAGGCTGAGGTCCGGCGAAGGTCTGGCCGGAGCTGAAGAGAGCCGCGGCGGTGGAGGCGGAGGAGAGAGGGGCTGAGAGGGCAAGGCTGGAAGAGAGGCTGAGAGCGGCTGCTGCTGCTGCTGCTGCCACGGCGGAGGAGGAGGAGGCGGAGGCGAGGTGAAGGGAGGGGAGGGAGAGAGGGGCGGAGGGGGGGAAGGCGAGCGGGGAGAGGGCCGAAGGAAGGAGGATGGCTGTGGTGCATGCGTCGTTGAATAGATGTGCTCCCAGACGCAGGTGCTGGGGGCGGTGGGGAGAGGGGAGAGGGGGGAGCAGCAGCGAAGTTTGGCTGTGATGGGAGACAAGTTTTGAGGCGCCTCAAAGCGAGTGGGGAAAGGGTGGAGGGCAGGAGGATGGCTGCGGTGCAGGCGTTGTTGAAAAGATGCATTTCCAGCCGCAGATGTTGTGCGGAGGGGGGAGACGAAGGGAAATGGGTAAGGGGGGGTGAGGGGGGAGCTTGAGTGAGGGGGGAAGGGGAGGGAGAGGGGAAGCAGAAGTGGGAGTTTGGCCAGTGGGAGAGAAACGAGAAGCGGGATGGGGTGGGAGTACGGGGAAGCGGGGGAAAGCGGATGTGAGTGAGAGAGTGGTTCTCGCATCCCTGCTGCAGTGCAAAGCTGCCTCAACGCAAGGGACTCAAGATCAGCACTGGGCGGTAAATCGCTTGCTGCACTGCATTATCACATCACATCACACCAAACCACACCACACCACACCACACCACACCACACCGCATTGAATCACATCACATCGGATCACCTGACCTACAACTATAATCCTTCCCTAACACTCTCACGCATCCCCATGAGCAACCCTTAGACTTGTAGTTGTTCCAGAGATGGACTACAATCCCTCATTGACACTTGCACTTACATCCTAGTTCAGCGTAAAACTAGTCTGCTGGGTTGGTAGTTCGACGCGAAACTCTCAACCAAAAGTGATCACGCAAAGACTCCCCCATCCCACCAATCGGAGGTTTCAACCAACCGCACAGGAGACTACCCCTCATTCCCTCTTGAGTCGACTCAAAAGTCACCTCGTTACAATGGCACATGACACATTTTGAGTCGACTCAAAAGCCATCTCACCAATCGGAGGTTTCAACCAACCACACTGGAGATACCCCCCATTCCCTTCCATCCCCATTCCTTATGTGTACAAGAGCACTGGCAAAGGCCATCTCATGCGCATCACTAAAGGCCACAAGAGCCTTGACCTCCACTGCCTGATGGCTCCAGCTTAGGGGCATCGTTGGCTGCCATTGCAGGAACAGATTATTGCAGGACGCTGAGACAAGCATGTGTCAGTAGCATGGCCGGGGCAATCGGCAGCACCGCGCAGGAGAGTTGCAAGAAGAGCAGCAGAGACAAGCAAGGGCAGACGAGGAGAGAAGAGGAGGGAGTGGCTTACTTGGCAGACAAGGAGAGGGGACGGGTTGACGTCGGAGGGAGGAAGAGAGAGGGACGTGGTGGCGTGGAGTGCTCTCCCGTCCGTTACGTGCTGCTCGAAGGAGTGGAAGGCGGTGCGGATGGCAGGGGGACGGAGTGGAGAGGAAGGAAGGGGGGAAATCAGAGGAAGTAGGAGCAGGGAAAGGGCACGTGAACGAAGAGATGAAATCACATCAACGTAAGTGTTACACGACTCGAGAAAAATGTTTACAGCATCGGCATAAAGACCCCGCAGAAGTCTTGCTGCTTCAATGCTGCGGCAATCACGTGTATTCAAGACTAGATTCCGGATGCTGGCAAGGCAAGCCTTAACCCTCCCCTCGGCCCTGAGCCCTCCCGCAGCCCTCCAGCAGCTCTCCTCATTACCTCGACGCTGTAACGAGTGAGCAGCAGCTGGATGGCAAAGACGAGGCGCGGCAGTCTCAGCTGGGCGGCACGCACCAGGCAGCGCTGCAGCAGCACACACACCTGCTGCTGCACGCCGCCTGCCACTGCCGCCCCTCCTCCCCCTTCCCCACCCACGCCCCCATGCGCCCCTTTTTCTCCCCCCACAATCCCCTCGCCCCCAACTCCCCTTTTCTTCCCTCCGCTCCTCCCCCCACCGCGCCACACTCCCCCCTCCAGCAGTGTTGGCTGCTGCAGCGAGCTGGGGGCTCCCAGTACTGCCAGCTGGCGGGGAGCATCTGACGTGGCAGTCTGTGATAGGAGGTGGCAGATGGCTGTGAGGGCGTGCACCAAGCACACGTCATCACTCTCCTGTGGGGACGGGCAGGGAATAAAATGATGCTTCAAGTCTGTGCTTATACAGCAGGTTCTGCTCACATCTACTGTCACGATTTTTTAGGCGCCGTAAAAATCGTCGCAGTTCTCGCGAATTTTAAGTGGAGAGAAGTTTAACTGCTTGGAAGTGCCGTAACCTGCACATGTTACTTATGCGTGCACGGTCACCGAACCGATAAGTCGGTTGAAGATTTTCCCGAAGGTTAACACAGCACCCTGGGTTTACCGTATTGCTTAGTTGGCGATTGCAACGGAAACAAGGTGGGGTGCAGTAGTACTGTGCTCACGGTACCATCCACTGTCATACAATCCAATAAGAATGCTCTCTGTTGCGATGTAGGAGCCAAGGCACATGGCATGAGATTCTGCCATGTGATACCACTCTACACCGTACTGCACCAGTTCTGACACTGACCAGGAAAATTGCAAAATCACTAGTAAACGAAAGAAGAAAAGCTACCATGTTTGTTCATTCCACACCAGCCTGTGCCATGCCAGCGCCTCACCTGCTGTGCCATGTGCACTGTCTCGATCAGGGCCTGGTATGGTGGGGTGCAGGGGCCATGTGGACGGGCGGGGGAGAGGAAATAAGGCGACGATTAGGGTACGAGGTGGAAGCAGGCGAGAATAAGAGTGACGATAGAGAATGGAGCAGGAAGAAGCCAGCTGAGGCAAGGCATACCCCCATTCCGTGCCGCATGTGTCACACATACCCCCATCGCATGCTCCATAACCCTCACATACCATGGAATGCTGCATGCTGCATGCACCACAGACCCACACATACCCCCATGGCGTGCTGCACGTGCCCGTATCGCGCATGCATGCCGCCCTCCACCAGCAGCCCTGCCTGGAACCGCCCCGCCCACCAGTCCGACGCTGCCCGCCCGCCCACCGCTGCCATGCCCGCACTGAATGGTAGAGGTGAAGGGGGAAGGGGGAAGGGGGAGGGACGACCGTGAGAGGGTAGGGGGAATGGAGAAGGGGGTAGGAAGGGAGTCGGGGGAGAGGGGGTGGAGTGGGCCTGCACATCAAGATTACCCGTCTTGACAGTGTTCCCATTGCAACCTTGCCCCCGCATGCATTCCCTCACACAACCCTGCCCCTACCTGCTCTTGCGGATGTGCACAGCCCCAGGAGTGCGAGAATCATATCAACGGGAACGTGTCACACATCAGCGGCTTTTTAGTCGACTTAAAAGTCACCTCGTATCAGCCGGCCACATCTCAGCCAAAATTGGTCTGAACCATCAAAAGCTGACCTGTCGTATCAAACACCATCCGAGGCCCATGACGAACCTGCTCCGGCCCGGCCTTTATGGCATCTTTTCTGGCCGGCACGAATTTGGCCCTTGTTAGTGTCTCATTCCCTCAGTCGTACTCAACCGTCCTCTTCTGTGCAGAACATGATACACCTAAGCCCATCCCATGCATTCCATCCATCCACTTGCCTGCACTGCACCACATGCATCACAGTTCCCTCCTGCCCCCCTGGGCACCTGTAGTCAAAGTAGCGGTGCAGTGAGGAGAGGGAGTCGGAGAGATGGCGCGAGGAGAGTGACTCATGATGCTGCCATAGATGCACCTGATGCCATGCACACATGCCACGCCGTGATGCCATGTGATGCCATGTGATGCCATGCCATGCGATGCCATGCCATGCGATGCCATGTGATGCCATGCCATGCCATGCCATACCATGCCATGCCAAGTCACACGATGCCATGCCATGCCATGCCATACCATGCCATGCCAAGTCACACGATGCCATGCCATGCCATGCCATACCATGCCATGCCAAGTCACACGATGCCATGCCATGCCATGCCATACCATGCCATGCCAAGTCACACGATGCCATGCCATGCCATGCCATACCATGCCATGCCAAGTCACACCATGCCATGCCATGCCATGCCATACCATGCCATGCCAAGTCACACGATGCCATGCCATGCCATGCCATACCATGCCATGCCAAGTCACACGATGCCATGCCATGCCATGCCATACCATGCCATGCCAAGTCACACGATGCCATGCCATGCCATGCCATACCATGCCATGCCAAGTCACACCATGCCATGCCATGCCATGCCATACCATGCCATGCCAAGTCACACGATGCCATGCCATGCCATGCCATACCATGCCATGCCAAGTCACACGATGCCATGCCATGCCATGCCATACCATGCCATGCCAAGTCACACGATGCCATGCCATGCCATGCCATACCATGCCATGCCAAGTCACACCATGCCATGCCATGCCATGCCATACCATGCCATGCCAAGTCACACGATGCCATGCCATGCCATGCCATACCATGCCATGCCAAGTCACACGATGCCATGCCATGCCATGCCATACCATGCCATGCCAAGTCACACGATGCCATGCCATGCCATGCCATACCATGCCATGCCAAGTCACACCATGCCATGCCATGCCATGCCATACCATGCCATGCCAAGTCACACGATGCCATGCCATGCCATGCCATACCATGCCATGCCAAGTCACACGATGCCATGCCATGCCATGCCATACCATGCCATGCCAAGTCACACGATGCCATGCCATGCCATGCCATACCATGCCATGCCAAGTCACACCATGCCATGCCATGCCATGCCATACCATGCCATGCCAAGTCACACGATGCCATGCCATGCCATGCCATACCATGCCATGCCAAGTCACACGATGCCATGCCATGCCATGCCATACCATGCCATGCCAAGTCACACGATGCCATGCCATGCCATGCCATACCATGCCATGCCAAGTCACACGATGCCATGCCATGCCATGCCATACCATGCCATGCCAAGTCACACCATGCCATGCCATGCCATGCCATACCATGCCATGCCAAGTCACACGATGCCATGCCATGCCATGCCATACCATGCCATGCCAAGTCACACGATGCCATGCCATGCCATGCCATACCATGCCATGCCAAGTCACACGATGCCATGCCATGCCATGCCATACCATGCCATGCCAAGTCACACGATGCCATGCCATGCCATGCCATACCATGCCATGCCAAGTCACACGATGCCATGCCATGCCATGCCATACCATGCCATGCCAAGTCACACGATGCCATGCCATGCCATGCCATACCATGCCATGCCAAGTCACACCATGCCATGCCATGCCATGCCATACCATGCCATGCCAAGTCACACGATGCCATGCCATGCCATGCCATACCATGCCATGCCAAGTCACACGATGCCATGCCATGCCATGCCATACCATGCCATGCCAAGTCACACGATGCCATGCCATGCCATGCCATACCATGCCATGCCAAGTCACACCATGCCATGCCATGCCATGCCATACCATGCCATGCCAAGTCACACGATGCCATGCCATGCCATGCCATACCATGCCATGCCAAGTCACACGATGCCATGCCATGCCATGCCATACCATGCCATGCCAAGTCACACGATGCCATGCCATGCCATGCCATACCATGCCATGCCAAGTCACACCATGCCATGCCATGCCATGCCATACCATGCCATGCCAAGTCACACGATGCCATGCCATGCCATGCCATACCATGCCATGCCAAGTCACACGATGCCATGCCATGCCATGCCATACCATGCCATGCCAAGTCACACGATGCCATGCCATGCCATGCCATACCATGCCATGCCAAGTCACACGATGCCATGCCATGCCATGCCATACCATGCCATGCCAAGTCACACGATGCCATGCCATGCCATGCCATACCATGCCATGCCAAGTCACACCATGCCATGCCATGCCATGCCATACCATGCCATGCCAAGTCACACGATGCCATGCCATGCCATGCCATACCATGCCATGCCAAGTCACACGATGCCATGCCATGCCATGCCATACCATGCCATGCCAAGTCACACGATGCCATGCCATGCCATGCCATACCATGCCATGCCAAGTCACACCATGCCATGCCATGCCATGCCATACCATGCCATGCCAAGTCACACGATGCCATGCCATGCCATGCCATACCATGCCATGCCAAGTCACACGATGCCATGCCATGCCATGCCATACCATGCCATGCCAAGTCACACGATGCCATGCCATGCCATGCCATACCATGCCATGCCAAGTCACACGATGCCATGCCATGCCATGCCATACCATGCCATGCCAAGTCACACCATGCCATGCCATGCCATGCCATACCATGCCATGCCAAGTCACACGATGCCATGCCATGCCATGCCATACCATGCCATGCCAAGTCACACGATGCCATGCCATGCCATGCCATACCATGCCATGCCAAGTCACACGATGCCATGCCATGCCATGCCATACCATGCCATGCCAAGTCACACCATGCCATGCCATGCCATGCCATACCATGCCATGCCAAGTCACACGATGCCATGCCATGCCATGCCATACCATGCCATGCCAAGTCACACGATGCCATGCCATGCCATGCCATACCATGCCATGCCAAGTCACACCATGCCATGCCATGCCATGCCATACCATGCCATGCCAAGTCACACGATGCCATGCCATGCCATGCCATACCATGCCATGCCAAGTCACACGATGCCATGCCATGCCATGCCATACCATGCCATGCCAAGTCACACGATGCCATGCCATGCCATGCCATACCATGCCATGCCAAGTCACACCATGCCATGCCATGCCATGCCATACCATGCCATGCCAAGTCACACGATGCCATGCCATGCCATGCCATACCATGCCATGCCAAGTCACACGATGCCATGCCATGCCATGCCATACCATGCCATGCCAAGTCACACGATGCCATGCCATGCCATGCCATACCATGCCATGCCAAGTCACACCATGCCATGCCATGCCATGCCATACCATGCCATGCCAAGTCACACGATGCCATGCCATGCCATGCCATACCATGCCATGCCAAGTCACACGATGCCATGCCATGCCATGCCATACCATGCCATGCCAAGTCACACGATGCCATGCCATGCCATGCCATACCATGCCATGCCAAGTCACACCATGCCATGCCATGCCATGCCATACCATGCCATGCCAAGTCACACGATGCCATGCCATGCCATGCCATACCATGCCATGCCAAGTCACACGATGCCATGCCATGCCATGCCATACCATGCCATGCCAAGTCACACCATGCCATGCCATGCCATGCCATACCATGCCATGCCAAGTCACACCATGCCATGCCATGCCATGCCATACCATGCCATGCCAAGTCACACGATGCCATGCCATGCCATGCCATACCATGCCATGCCAAGTCACACGATGCCATGCCATGCCATGCCATACCATGCCATGCCAAGTCACACGATGCCATGCCATGCCATGCCATACCATGCCATGCCAAGTCACACGATGCCATGCCATGCCATGCCATACCATGCCATGCCAAGTCACACCATGCCATGCCATGCCATGCCATACCATGCCATGCCAAGTCACACGATGCCATGCCATGCCATGCCATACCATGCCATGCCAAGTCACACGATGCCATGCCATGCCATGCCATACCATGCCATGCCAAGTCACACGATGCCATGCCATGCCATGCCATACCATGCCATGCCAAGTCACACCATGCCATGCCATGCCATGCCATACCATGCCATGCCAAGTCACACGATGCCATGCCATGCCATGCCATACCATGCCATGCCAAGTCACACGATGCCATGCCATGCCATGCCATACCATGCCATGCCAAGTCACACCATGCCATGCCATGCCATGCCATACCATGCCATGCCAAGTCACACGATGCCATGCCATGCCATGCCATACCATGCCATGCCAAGTCACACGATGCCATGCCATGCCATGCCATACCATGCCATGCCAAGTCACACGATGCCATGCCATGCCATGCCATACCATGCCATGCCAAGTCACACCATGCCATGCCATGCCATGCCATACCATGCCATGCCAAGTCACACGATGCCATGCCATGCCATGCCATACCATGCCATGCCAAGTCACACGATGCCATGCCATGCCATGCCATACCATGCCATGCCAAGTCACACGATGCCATGCCATGCCATGCCATACCATGCCATGCCAAGTCACACCATGCCATGCCATGCCATGCCATACCATGCCATGCCAAGTCACACGATGCCATGCCATGCCATGCCATACCATGCCATGCCAAGTCACACGATGCCATGCCATGCCATGCCATACCATGCCATGCCAAGTCACACGATGCCATGCCATGCCATGCCATACCATGCCATGCCAAGTCACACCATGCCATGCCATGCCATGCCATACCATGCCATGCCAAGTCACACGATGCCATGCCATGCCATGCCATACCATGCCATGCCAAGTCACACGATGCCATGCCATGCCATGCCATACCATGCCATGCCAAGTCACACGATGCCATGCCATGCCATGCCATACCATGCCATGCCAAGTCACACCATGCCATGCCATGCCATGCCATACCATGCCATGCCAAGTCACACGATGCCATGCCATGCCATGCCATACCATGCCATGCCAAGTCACACGATGCCATGCCATGCCATGCCATACCATGCCATGCCAAGTCACACCATGCCATGCCATGCCATGCCATACCATGCCATGCCAAGTCACACGATGCCATGCCATGCCATGCCATACCATGCCATGCCAAGTCACACGATGCCATGCCATGCCATGCCATACCATGCCATGCCAAGTCACACGATGCCATGCCATGCCATGCCATACCATGCCATGCCAAGTCACACCATGCCATGCCATGCCATGCCATACCATGCCATGCCAAGTCACACGATGCCATGCCATGCCATGCCATACCATGCCATGCCAAGTCACACGATGCCATGCCATGCCATGCCATACCATGCCATGCCAAGTCACACGATGCCATGCCATGCCATGCCATACCATGCCATGCCAAGTCACACGATGCCATGCCATGCCATGCCATACCATGCCATGCCAAGTCACACCATGCCATGCCATGCCATGCCATACCATGCCATGCCAAGTCACACGATGCCATGCCATGCCATGCCATACCATGCCATGCCAAGTCACACGATGCCATGCCATGCCATGCCATACCATGCCATGCCAAGTCACACGATGCCATGCCATGCCATGCCATACCATGCCATGCCAAGTCACACCATGCCATGCCATGCCATGCCATACCATGCCATGCCAAGTCACACGATGCCATGCCATGCCATGCCATACCATGCCATGCCAAGTCACACGATGCCATGCCATGCCATGCCATACCATGCCATGCCAAGTCACACGATGCCATGCCATGCCATGCCATACCATGCCATGCCAAGTCACACGATGCCATGCCATGCCATGCCATACCATGCCATGCCAAGTCACACGATGCCATGCCATGCCATGCCATACCATGCCATGCCAAGTCACACCATGCCATGCCAAGTCACACCATGCCATGCCATGTCACACGATGCCATGCCAAGCGATGTCACGTGGTGGCATGCAGGAAGTGGTGCATTCGGGGACGGGCGGGATCGAGATTGGAGTTGAACACAAGGTGGGCAGCGGATAACAGAGTTTCGATCCACAGCTGCTATATTCATCAAGTCATGCATTCGAATCAGCCTGCCACGTGCATTCAACCTGCCATGCGTGCTGCCACCGTGCACCTTAGGCGGCAGGTCATGTGCATGAGCCAGTGCGCTCTGGTCGTCCGCATGAGCACCATCCACAGCACCGCCACTCTCCTCTCCTTCCCTGCCTTGCTCGGTCCTCAGGCCTGCTGCTGCTGCCCCCCGCCTGTTGCGCACAACAGAGTGAGGAGAGAGGGATTGGTGCAAGTGAGAAGAGGGATACAACAGCGGGCAGAGAAGTGAGTGGGAGACGGAAGAAGAAGTAAGCTCCGGCATCTAGCGAGGCGAAAGTCTCCCCACCTGCTAGCTGCCTCTATCCGCCCATCAAGGTACTCCGCCAGCCGCCCTGCCTCCCGCAGAAACTGCTTCTGCATGCCGCCGCCTCCCATCTGCTTCCGCCCCCCTCTTTCCCGTCCACTCTCCCGCCCCTCCTCCCCCATTATCCCTCCACTGCTCCTTCTCCCAGCTCCTCCCCCCCACAAGCCCCCATCATCCCCCCCAGAAGGCATCAGAGCATCATCCCCCTGCCCCCCCCCTCTCCCCCCTCGTCCCAGCACCTCCCGCTCAAACTCCTCCTCCCATGCTGTCCTGTCCTCCCCCACCCTCTCCCCCGCCCCTGCCCTTGCTCCTCCCCCACCCCCTCCACCATCCCACGCTGTCCCCCCTGCTTCTTCCCTGCTGCTCTCACTCGTGCCCTCATGGGTTGTTCTTCTGCGGTGCGTGACTGTATCGAAGGCCAGTGGTTCCCTTCCCTCTATGCCCACTCCTGCACCCCCATCCACTCCCACGCCCACCCCCACGCCCACGTCTACGTCCATTTCCTCCCCCCCGTCATCCCCCCTCTCCTCCCCTGACCCCCACTCCCCATGAGATGCCTCCCCTGTGCTCTCCCGCCTTCCCGCCTGCTCATCTATGCCCTCCGTGCTGCCAGTGCTGGCAGAGCAGCCTGCCTGGTTGAGGTACTCGTGAATGTCGCCCAGCACATCGCACACCGCCTGCCATGTGCCATGTATGCCATGCCACGTGTGCCACGCATGTTATATGTATGCCATGCGCCATGTCCCATTGGCATGTGCCATGTGCCATGCACCATGCGCCATGTGGCATATGGAATGTGGCATGTGGCATGCCATGTGCAAAGAAAGAGAAATGGTTAGATCATCTGCATCTGTAGAATGCAATGTCGTTGAGATGTGCATGTGTGCATGTGTGCATATGTGCATGTGTGCATGTGTGCATGTGCGCATGTGTGCATGTGTGCATGTGAGCATGTGCGCATGTGTGTATGTGTGCATGTGTGCATGTGTGCATGTGTGCATGTGTGCATGTGTGCATGTGCGCATGTGTGCATGTGTGCATGTCTGCATGTGTGCATGTGCGCATGTCTGCATGTCTGCATGTGCGCATGTCTGCATGTGTGCATGTGCGCATGTGTGCATGTGTGCATGTCTGCATGTGTGCATGTGCGCATGAGTGGATGTGTGCATGTGCGCATGTGTGCATGTGTGCATGTCTGCATGTGTGCATGTGCGCATGTCTGCATGTGTGCATGTGCGCATGTGCGCATGTGTGCATGTCTGCATGTGTGCATGTGCGCATGTCTGCATGTGTGCATGAGCGCATGTGCGCATGTCTGCATGGGTGCGTGCATGTGTGCATGGGTGCATGGGTGCACCTGTATGCATGTGAGCACCTGGAAGGGCAGGTGGTGGAAGGAGAGCAGCAGCGAGCGAAGAAAGAGGCCGAGAGCACTGCCGCGGGTGACAGGCTGGCAGGCGGGCGACGCTGCTGCTGCCGCCCGGTGGCGCGGAGGGGACGTGCTGCGCGCCACACACGCTGCAACACGGTCGTGAGGGGGAGAGGTGGGGCGGGGGACAGGGCAAGCATGGGTTTTAAGGCGCCTCAAAATGCTGCCCGGTGGCGCGGAGGGGACGTGCTGCGCGCCGCACCACACACGCTGCAACACGGTCGTTAAAGGGGGGAGGTTGCGCGGGAACGGCAGGCAGGCATGAGAGGAAATGAGTGGTGGAGTGCGATGCAAGGAACGGGGAGAAGATTAAGAGGACTGGGAAGGAGGGGAAGAGGTGACAAGGAAACACTCCTCGTGTCTGCCTGCTTGCTTGCTTGCTGAGTAGTGGAGGGATAATTGCAGTATTCATAAACATTGCGTGCAACCAATGTCCATGTGGAGGACTAGAGCACATAGAACAGACCTCATGCATATGTTCATGAGTGCACATGTCCATGAGTGCACATGTTCATGAGTGCACATGTCCATGAGTGCACATGTCCATGAGTGCACATGTCCATGAGTGCACATGTTCATGAGTGCACATGTCCATGAGTGCACATGTTCATGAGTGCACATGTCCATGAGTGCACATGTCCATGAGTGCACATGTCCATGAGTGCACATGTCCATGAGTGCACATGTCCATGAGTGCACATGTCCATGCGTGCAGCTATCCATGCATGTAAAGTGGACATTCAAACGCACCACTCACAGTGCCCCACATACAGTGCCCCACTCACAGTGCACCACTCACAGTGCGCCACTCACAGTGCCCCACTCACAGTGCACCACTCACAGTGCCCCACTCACAGTGCACCACTCACAGTGCACCACTCACAGTGCCCCACTCACAGTGCAGGGAGGCAAAGAGGGAGAAGAGGTCATCTGGTGACTGCAGCGCCTGCAGCTGCTGCACCAGCACCCCCCCCACATCACCCCACCCCTCCTCCCCTTCCTCCGCTCCCTCCGCCTCTGCATTCCTGCCCCGCTCTCCCCTTTTTCCGTGGCCCCCCTTGCCTGCCTCCGCCTCTCCCCCACCCCTTCCCTCCTTCACCTCCGCTGCCAGTCGCAGCAGCAGCGCGCTCAGAGATGGCTCGTGCCAGGAGTTCACTGCCTGTGTGGGGTATGGTGTTGTTGGGGGGTGATGGGGGGTGTTGGGGGGTGATGGGGGCGTTGTTGGTGTGAGTGAGGGGTGATGAGGGATGGAGTGGATTTCAGAGAGTTAAGATACGAGGAGACGAATGGAGCCGGCAGGGAGAACGGGGCGAGGAGGGGCGAGGAGGGGCGAGGAGCAACAGTGCTACTGGCGGCAATGATGCAGGCGAGGGGGGTGGGTGCGGCGGGGGAAGCTGGAAAGGGGTGGTGTAGAGGCAATGAGAGGACAAAGGTAAGGACAGGATGGGCAGGGGAAGGGGGGCGTTGTGCAGGACAGGAGGAGCAGACAGGAACAGATTGGAGGGGCGGAATATGAGGATAGGCTGAATCCGTTACCACACCTCCACTCCCCCAACCTGCCACTGCCACCGGTCAGCTTGCTGCCTCCTGCCTGACATTTGGAGCGGATGATGACAGTGTGCATGCATGACATGGATGCATGCATGCATGCATGCTGCCCTCTCCTGCCTGACTTGTGTCCTCTCGCCCATCAGCATCTGCCGCCACACTGCACCGTTCCCAGCACCGTTGAACCCCTGCCCTCCTTTTGCTCCGCCCCACCCTCTGTCTTCACTCTCCCCCCTCTCCCCTCCACCGCGCTGCCTCTGCGCTGCCACAGCACCGAGCATTCCCCTGCAGCAGCTACCGCCGCCCACAGAACAGCAACTTGCTACCGCCCGCAAAAAGCGCCTCTTCTCCCCAGCAGCGAGAATTTCTTCCCCAGCGGCGCAATCCAACCGCGCACCTTTTCCCCCAAGCAACGCACCTCCCCCCACCTCCATCAGCGCACCTCTTCCCCCCCGAGCGCCTCACCCTGGTCTCGCGCAGCAGGAAGAGCGCCAGCCGCTGCCGCACGCGGCAGGGCGGCGGGGAGGGCGGGGCGGCACGCGCGCGGAGTTCGTCAGCCAGCCCGGGCTCGGCGGAGTGCGACGGGCCCGCGAGGAGGCGCAGAAGCAGCGCGAGCGCCACTCGGTGCGGCGTCACGCTCGCCGCGGACGTCGCGACGGCGGGGGGCGCGTCGCGAGGCGGTGCGGCGGAAGGCATGGCGACGCGTGGACCCGACGAGCACGTTGCCGCGCGCCGCGTGGGCGACTCGCCGCGAAGGAATGTCGCGGTGATGCGCGCAGAGCTAGCTGCGACGAAGGCGCTATCGTGTCGCGAGGGATGCGAAATATGATCGACGCACGAAGTTCGAGCGAGTGGTTCAACTATAGATTCGACCTGCTTTGCTAGCTCCTTACGAAATTCGCACGACAATAGCCGTGGTCTCGCCAAAAGTTCCGCTATAACCGTCGCGCCATTCATCCAATTCGCAAATGGACCTGCAAAACGACCCCACGACAGACTGGACCTCGTTTTGCACTACGCCCTAAGAACTTCAGCTTCTGTGTCTCACGAAGGCTCACCCATCTGGATGGCAGGCTTGGGTTGGGGGAAGAATGATTGGGGATAGGCAGCCCGCACAAACCTCAAAGGCATGGCGAAAAAAAGGTATACGGGCGCGTAACCATTTTGTCCTGACGGTCCGTTTTTCGGACGGTCCGTTTTTAACGCTGTGTGATTGGTCTTCATTGGCTTCGCAGATAATCGTAACATTGTAATTTATTCGTGAGGGCAATTCCGACCAATCACACAGCGTTTAGAACGGACCGTCCGAAAAACGGACCGTCAGGACAAAATGGTTACGCGCCCTAACAGTCGTTTGTTCGAATGAGAGTATCGTTCGAACAGCGAGGTGACACGCCCTAAGGGCGTATCCAGGTTCGGGTCATGAGCACTGTTCCGGGCATGCGCGAATTGCGGATGCCCGGAACAACACAAAACACCTCTTTGGGTTCTCGGAACTCATGCGACCCCCTAATTGGCGCGAGGCTTTTCGCGCCACAAATACGCCCCAAAAAACAGTCGCATCCAATGGAGGGATGCCTGAACAGTGCGAAAGATCATTTGCTACACCCACGCAAAACCATGCGACACCCAGCGAAAAACACAATCGTCAAAAATGTCGGCGTGAATCTCCAAATGTTGGGAGCGCGACGCGGGAAATGTTAGACACATTCTTGGGTCACTGGGATCAATTTGCCGAGTGGTTGGGTGCAGAGGTGTAGGTTACGGTACATCACAAATTTGTTGCACTCTACTGACGACCGCGTGGAAGATGGCAGTCTAACGTGAATCGTGCAACCAGGTGATTGGTTGGGGGTGGGTCGTGCACGTCAGTCGCCCAACACCTGCACATTGACCCAAAGCTGGGGCCGCGCGCGGCTCTGCAGCCCACTTCGGGTCATGCGCAATTTCCGCATGACCCAAACAGTAGAATGAACAGTTCTCATGACCGGAACCAAAGATACGCCCTAAGTGTCATCCTCGGGAAGTAGGAAGAGCGGCTCTCATCATGAGATTTTCGAGGGAACGAATGCTGAGGAGAAATCCAGGGGAAAACTGCTCGATCGATGAGATTTTCGAGGGAACGAATGCTGAGGAGAAATCCAGGGGAAAACTGCTCGATCGATCTATCAACCTAGAGCCTGCGGAAGATTATGAGGATGAGATTATGAGCGTCTGGATCGCGAGCAGCAAGCATGCGGAACTGAACTGCGAGCTGCGATGTGAATTCCGTGTAGCAGCTGCTGAAAGCACAGGGTAGCCAAGTGAGCATCTTCCTAGCTGCGGTGCACACATTCTCCCACAGCGACCTCAGCGTTCTCTTGCGATAGGTGATTGGGCGAATCCTCAACGGCAGCAACGGTCGTATCTGTATGAGGCCGTACTACTAGTCAGAAAGAGCTCAACCAACATTTCCTATCGAGCTATTTTACACTCCTGGAAGCCGTGGTCCCAGCCATTCCACTCTGGCAAGGTTTTAAGCTTCACGTGAGCTGTCGTTGGTGCACGTGACGGCCGCTAGCATGGACTCTAGGCGAACTCACATCCACGATCTCCTCGACGGCATCCTAATTAGGATCTTGTGGCCTTCCACACCGTCAAGCCCGTACATATCCGAGAGCGATCATCACCTGTGGAACCCTATAGCGCCCAGGCCTACGTACCTGGTCGCGCACTCTACTCCGGAAGAGCCATGGCGCAAGCGAGCAGACTCTCCCATGTCGACTCCTCCTGCCTCCGCGGACGCCGCTCACAACCTTTTTCTTGCGTCGATCTGCCGTCGCTGGCGACGCCTGGCTCAGAGGCACGTCTCGACGCTGCTCGTGAAGGATAACCGCGTCGTGTCGCACCACGATGTGCTCAACGCGGTCGCCTGCTTTCCCCGGCTAACCCATCTGCATCTCTCGGATTTCAGCGTTGAGACGCTGGACGACGCGTTTCTAGCTGACCTCGCCGATTCGTGCCCTGGGTTGAGGGCGGTGCACGTGGGGAAGCTGATGGGGGAAGTGGAACCGGACGAGGGACGGCACGTTAGGAATGGCCGCGTCATAACGGAATCGGGCTTGGATCACTTCTTTCGTCACTGCTCTCAACTGGAGCAGCTGTCGCTGTGCTGTCTCGAGGAAGATCTGAACCCACCAGCTTCGTTCTTCGAACTTCAACATCTGCGCATCCTAGTCTTGTCCACTGCTTTCATCTTAAACTCTCCAGATCTCAGCTCTCTTTCGTCTCTCACAGCAGTCTCCATCGAAACCCCCACCCTTCACTACGACCAGCTCTCCACCCTCCTTCAACTCACCAACCTCACGCGCCTCTCCTTGCCTGACGCGATTCGCCTGATTCCAGCAGATCCGCCCGCCTTCTCGCTCGCACAGCTTCCTTCTCTTGAGTCTCTCAAGTTCGGATTGTTTGATGCACACTTCAGGGTTTTTTTCCCTCCTGTATCGCCGTACAGACTCCTCAAACGCCTGCAGCTAAACCATTGCTTCAACCAGGAACGGCTTCCAAGCAATATTGGCCAGTTGCTACCGCGTCTCCAAGAGCTCAGCATCAAAAGCTGCGAAACCTTCAGCGATCTGACCGACGAGTTCACGTCGCTCACCTGCCTGGAGAGCCTGACCGTATCCTACTGCAACGTGTCCACTCTGCTGGAAGACTTTGGTGATCTTCCAGCCTTGAAGGCGTTGGTGCTGCACCAGCAGCCGCTTCACACTCTCCCTGCCTCCTTCACCAGACTCACATCCCTGGAGACGTTTTTCCTGGTTTGGTGTGAACAGGTGTACGAGCTACCCGCAGGGTTTGGTTCCCTCACAGCCCTCCGGTCTCTGAGCCTTGAAGGGGCACCGTCTCTGGAGCTTCCAGAAGACTTGGGGGGCCTGACCAATCTCCGGAATAACATCCAACGGCAGCTTCCATCCTCATTCACGCAGCTGTCTTCGCTGACCAGGCTGGAGTTGGAAGGGTGTGATATTGAGCTTCCAGAGGGCATGGGGGAGATGACAAACCTGCAGGAGCTCTACATTCAAAGGTGCTCTTTTCTCCAGCAGCTTCCGGAATCTGTGACGTCGCTTCTCAGCCTTCGAGTGCTCAGAATTGGAAGCTGTGAAAATCTCGTGTCGGTTCCCAGAAGGCTGGATGAGCTTACCAGGCTTACTCAGTTGGAGCTGAAAGAGTGTTGGCAGCTGAACCAACCCCCTCAGGCTCTGCCACTCAATCTCCACGCTCTATGGTACACAAACAATCAGCCGATGGTGCCTCTGCCGGATGTTTCAAGACTTACAGGGCTCAGGGAACTCTGCTTAGGCACTGTGGGAGCAGCCTGTATTGAGGCCATCAGTGAGCATCTCTCCGCTGTGAGGCACTTGGACCTGGAGGTGGTAGAAGGGGCAGAGGGCTCTCTGTCCGCGTTAACCCGGCTTCCTCACCTCCGCACCTTGACACTCAGGGATGCCCGCAGTGTGAACATGTTGGTGGAATCTGAGGGCTCGGGTTTCCAGGAGCTGCGGGAGCTGAACGTTATCACCTTTCGTGAAGGACTCTCAGAGCTGCCTGCGGCCATCACCACTCTCCACCGCCTGACATCCATTAGAATCCTCTCGGAAAACTTGTCTTCTCTTCCGCATGCCTTTGGGGCATTCTCAAGGCTGCGTGAGCTAGACCTATCCTTCTGCTCATCTCCCGTGCATCTCCCTGCTTCCCTCACACAGCTATCCTGCCTGCATCACCTGAATGTCAACCACTCTGGCATCCGGCTGCTTCCTCCTGGCTTTGCACAGCTGAGCAGGCTGAGGAAGCTCGATCTCCATGAGTGCAAGCACCTTGAGGCTCTGCCTGACGACCTATCTGAGCTTAGAATGCTCGACTACTTCACCACTAGTGGGTGTGACATGCTCCAGCGTTGAAGTCATTTTTCCCACTCACAAGCTTTGATTCTTAGTTAATGTAAACTGCGTGGAAGCATACTTAGGTACCATTACTTGTAAGGGCTTCTTGATTTGACTTGAATGCACTTCCGTTCCTGCATTGGTAGGTACACTGGGCCAGAAACTTGGTACGGTATCATTCTTCCAGGGTTGTTCTGAAGGCTACAATGCTGCAGCACCATACCATCACTATGCACTTCACATCATGCATCCACACACACGTTCCCACAACGGAGGAAATGGGGTACATGACGTTGAAACAAACAAAATTCTGCATTGGAGGTATGCAAGTGCTTGAAATTATAGCAAGAATGTGAAGGAATTGAGAATCTTTAGGAGTTCTGGTACCGGTACGTGGTTTCATCCTCACACATGAAAGGTCAACCATTGTGCAAGGGGGCATTAGGAAATGGGGGGAGGGGGCTGAAGGGAGATTGGGGGGGGGGGGAAGGGGGGGGGGGAGGTGTCGCGGCAATATGAAGCCAGGAAGGGCTACATAATTTCCGGGACAGCGTAGAAGGATTGTGAGCAGCACAGGAGGTTGTGAGCAGCACAGGAGGTTGTGAGCAGCACAGGAGGTTGTGAGCAGCACAGGAGGTTGTGAGCAGCACAGGAGGTTGTGAGCAGCACAGGAGGTTGTGAGCAGCACAGGAGGTTGTGAGCAGCACAGGAGGTTGTGAGCAGCACAGGAGGTTGTGAGCAGCACAGGAGGTTGTGAGCAGCACAGGAGGTTGTGAGCAGCACAGGAGGTTGTGAGCAGCACAGGAGGTTGTGAGCAGCACAGGAGGTTGTGAGCAGCACAGGAGGTTGTGAGCAGCACAGGAGGTTGTGAGCAGCACAGGAGGTTGTGAGCAGCACAGGAGGTTGTGAGCAGCACAGGAGGTTGTGAGCAGCACAGGAGGTTGTGAGCAGCACAGGAGGTTGTGAGCAGCACAGGAGGTTGTGAGCAGCACAGGAGGTTGTGAGCAGCACAGGAGGTTGTGAGCAGCACAGGAGGTTGTGAGCAGCACAGGAGGTTGTGAGCAGCACAGGAGGTTGTGAGCAGCACAGGAGGTTGTGAGCAGCACAGGAGGTTGTGAGCAGCACAGGAGGTTGTGAGCAGCACAGGAGGTTGTGAGCAGCACAGGAGGTTGTGAGCAGCACAGGAGGTTGTGAGCAGCACAGGAGGTTGTGAGCAGCACAGGAGGTTGTGAGCAGCACAGGAGGTTGTGAGCAGCACAGGAGGTTGTGAGCAGCACAGGAGGTTGTGAGCAGCACAGGAGGTTGTGAGCAGCACAGGAGGTTGTGAGCAGCACAGGAGGTTGTGAGCAGCACAGGAGGTTGTGAGCAGCACAGGAGGTTGTGAGCAGCACAGGAGGTTGTGAGCAGCACAGGAGGTTGTGAGCAGCACAGGAGGTTGTGAGCAGCACAGGAGGTTGTGAGCAGCACAGGAGGTTGTGAGCAGCACAGGAGGTTGTGAGCAGCACAGGAGGTTGTGAGCAGCACAGGAGGTTGTGAGCAGCACAGGAGGTTGTGAGCAGCACAGGAGGTTGTGAGCAGCACAGGAGGTTGTGAGCAGCACAGGAGGTTGTGAGCAGCACAGGAGGTTGTGAGCAGCACAGGAGGTTGTGAGCAGCACAGGAGGTTGTGAGCAGCACAGGAGGTTGTGAGCAGCACAGGAGGTTGTGAGCAGCACAGGAGGTTGTGAGCAGCACAGGAGGTTGTGAGCAGCACAGGAGGTTGTGAGCAGCACAGGAGGTTGTGAGCAGCACAGGAGGTTGTGAGCAGCACAGGAGGTTGTGAGCAGCACAGGAGGTTGTGAGCAGCACAGGAGGTTGTGAGCAGCACAGGAGGTTGTGAGCAGCACAGGAGGTTGTGAGCAGCACAGGAGGTTGTGAGCAGCACAGGAGGTTGTGAGCAGCACAGGAGGTTGTGAGCAGCACAGGAGGTTGTGAGCAGCACAGGAGGTTGTGAGCAGCACAGGAGGTTGTGAGGCAGCACAGGAGGTTGTGAGCAGCACAGGAGGTTGTGAGCAGCACAGGAGGTTGTGAGCAGCACAGGAGGTTGTGAGCAGCACAGGAGGTTGTGAGCAGCACAGGAGGTTGTGAGCAGCACAGGAGGTTGTGAGCAGCACAGGAGGTTGTGAGCAGCACAGGAGGTTGTGAGCAGCACAGGAGGTTGTGAGCAGCACAGGAGGTTGTGAGCAGCACAGGAGGTTGTGAGCAGCACAGGAGGTTGTGAGCAGCACAGGAGGTTGTGAGCAGCACAGGAGGTTGTGAGCAGCACAGGAGGTTGTGAGCAGCACAGGAGGTTGTGAGCAGCACAGGAGGTTGTGAGCAGCACAGGAGGTTGTGAGCAGCACAGGAGGTTGTGAGCAGCACAGGAGGTTGTGAGCAGCACAGGAGGTTGTGAGCAGCACAGGAGGTTGTGAGCAGCACAGGAGGTTGTGAGCAGCACAGGAGGTTGTGAGCAGCACAGGAGGTTGTGAGCAGCACAGGAGGTTGTGAGCAGCACAGGAGGTTGTGAGCAGCACAGGAGGTTGTGAGCAGCACAGGAGGTTGTGAGCAGCACAGGAGGTTGTGAGCAGCACAGGAGGTTGTGAGCAGCACAGGAGGTTGTGAGCAGCACAGGAGGTTGTGAGCAGCACAGGAGGTTGTGAGCAGCACAGGAGGTTGTGAGCAGCACAGGAGGTTGTGAGCAGCACAGGAGGTTGTGAGCAGCACAGGAGGTTGTGAGCAGCACAGGAGGTTGTGAGCAGCACAGGAGGTTGTGAGCAGCACAGGAGGTTGTGAGCAGCACAGGAGGTTGTGAGCAGCACAGGAGGTTGTGAGCAGCACAGGAGGTTGGGTTGTGAGCAGCACAGGAGGTTGTGAGCAGCACAGGAGGTTGTGAGCAGCACAGGAGGTTGTGAGCAGCACAGGAGGTTGTGAGCAGCACAGGAGGTTGTGAGCAGCACAGGAGGTTGTGAGCAGCACAGGAGGTTGTGAGCAGCACAGGAGGTTGTGAGCAGCACAGGAGGTTGTGAGCAGCACAGGAGGTTGTGAGCAGCACAGGAGGTTGTGAGCAGCACAGGAGGTTGTGAGCAGCACAGGAGGTTGTGAGCAGCACAGGAGGTTGTGAGCAGCACAGGAGGTTGTGAGCAGCACAGGAGGTTGTGAGCAGCACAGGAGGTTGTGAGCAGCACAGGAGGTTGTGAGCAGCACAGGAGGTTGTGAGCAGCACAGGAGGTTGTGAGCAGCACAGGAGGTTGTGAGCAGCACAGGAGGTTGTGAGCAGCACAGGAGGTTGTGAGCAGCACAGGAGGTTGTGAGCAGCACAGGAGGTTGTGAGCAGCACAGGAGGTTGTGAGCAGCACAGGAGGTTGTGAGCAGCGCGGGAGGGGGGAAGAAGCAGAGGCTGGGGTGCAGCAGTGGGATGAAGTGAAGAAACACGAGAGGATGGAGCAGTGACAAGGAGCTGCAATGTACATAAGTGTACCATAAAGCGTATAAATGTGCTGAATGTGTATGTTGGGATAGGGGTGGGGCTGAATGTTTCTTTCGTGTGTAAGTGTGTTTCTTTTCTGTGGCAGGGCGAGAGCTGTTGACGCGTACAAGTACAGCACAACCACCAGGTGGCAGGAGCTGCAGTGTACCATGCAAGCCGAGCGTGCAGCTGGCAGGAGGCTCGTGCAGGAGCCCATGCAGATCCAAACCGCCTGCGGTTTGTAAATACGACTCGGTGCCCCGAGTCTCGCCCAATGTGATGTGTGTGGCTGAGGCCCTAGGCTAGGGATGAGAATTCTTGATTGTACATAGCCTTGGTGAAACCCTAGTGCTAGGTGCTTCCGACAGAGTTTCCGACAGAGGGGGAGAGGGGGGGAGGAAAAATGGTTTGGGTGCAGAGAGGGTGAGGAGGAAGGGGAGGAAGGGAGAGGGGGAATGGGTGGGGAGCGAGAAGGGGGGGAAGGGTTTGGGTGCAGAGTGGGAGAGGAGAAAGGAAAGGAAGGGAGAGGGGGAGGGGGATGAGGGGTTCGGGTGCAGAGAGGGTGAGGAGAAAGGGGAGGAAGAGGAGGGGGAAGGGGGGATGGGAAGGGTGGCGAAGTGTTTGGGTGCAGAGGGGGTGAGGAGAAAGAGGAGGAAGGGGGGAAGGGGGGGGAAGTTGGGCAGAGAATGTACCATCCCTGGCTCAGTGGACTACATGCATTGTATTTTGCTGTGCTGTGATTCAATGAAGTGCAACTGCAGATAATGGAACATCTGGTTGTGTCATGCCATTGAATGTGTTAACAAGGGTATGCATCTGTGGTACTCCATCTCTGATTCTGTTCCCCTCTCCCTTCTGCCTTCCTGTCATTCCCAATTTCTGCACCCATTCTCTCTCTCCCTCTTCGAAACTCCAACCGATATTCTCTCCCTGGATCCATCACCCCAGCTGTCCTCCCCATTGTGCAGCACTGCCAGCATTCACCTCACCCAGTTCCTGGCTTTGGTTTGCCACATTCAGGCCATGTCAAGGCTGGTCTCCTCTGTACATGCTCAACGCCCCCCACTTCGTTCGTACCCCCAATCTTTTTTCATACCCTCTAGATTCTCTCGTACCCACTCACTCATCTCATACCCCTCACTCCTCTCATATCCACAACTCCTCTTGTATCATACCCCCATTAAGCGTCGCCATAGTAGCAGTACAGGCAAGGCAGCGGAGATGGTGCGCAGGGCAAGCAAACGCGCGGTTGGCAGGCAGGCGCTCAAGGCAGGCAGGTGCTCAAGGCAGGCAGGCACTCAAGGCAGGCAGGCGCTCTTGAAGGCAGGCGCTCAAGGTAGGCAGGCGCTCAAGGCAGGCAGGCGCTCAAGGCAGACAGGCGCTTTTGGCAGGCAGGCGCTCAAGGCAGGCAGGCGCTCAAGGCAGGCAGGCGCTCAAGGCAGGCGCTCAAGGCAGGCGCTCAAGGCAGGCGCTCAAGGCAGGCGCTCAAGGCAGGCACTCTAGGCAGGCGCTCAAGGCAGGCGCTCTAGGCAGGCTAAGACAGGCAGGCGCACTGCTCACGGGCGTCACACGGGCAGGGCACGCACGGCTGCGGACTGCGCGCGACTGCTGGCTGCGCGCGGCTGCGGGCTGCGTGCGGCTGCTGGTTGCGCGTGGCGACAGGCTGCGCGCGGCTACGGGCTGCGTGCAGCGGCGGGCTGCGCGGGCAGGGCCTAAGCGGGCTGCGCGCGGGCGGCTTACGCGACGCGCGGGCCGGCGGCAGGCTGCGCGGGCGGCTGACGTGGCGCACGGGGCCGAAAACGGGCCTAAACGGGCTGCGCGCGGGCTGCTTAAGCGGCGCGCGCGGGAAAAAAAAGGGCCGCGCGCGTGCAGCCGAGGCGCGCGCGGGCAGCAGGCGCTGCAGGCAGGCAGGTGATACAACTCCTCTTGTATCATACCCCCCAATTCGCTAATTTTAACCTCTCCGCTCGTATCCCCCACTCCTCTCATACCCCCACTCAATTCATACCCTCCATTGATCATACCCCAACCATTCCTATCATACCCCCAAATCCACGCCTACACCCCAATTCTCTGATTCCCCCTTGTCGAAGAGAAAGGCCCCGCCCTCGCTTGGGCGCAGCCGATCTCGCCGTCGACGGGAAGTTCTCGACGGATTGGTAGAAGAAGTAGTCTTCTGCATTTTGATGGAAGTTGCAGTCGAGCAAACTCTGCTCGACGGAATCTGGTCGACGAGCTCTGCGCGACGAGCTCTGGTCGACGATCTCTGCGCGACGAACTTCCGTCGAAGAACTCTGGTCGATGAGTTCGGGTCGAGGAACTCTGGTCGAAGAGTTCTGGTCGAAGAGCTCTGCTCGGCGAACTTTGTTCGACCGAGCGATGGCGATTCCTTCGACCGAAGTTGCAGAGTTCTGCGAAACTCTGCGGAGGTGTGCGAACTTTCGCCCAGGAGATTTTGGCGAAGTTCTACCTGCGGAACGGCATCACGTGGTCGACGGTGCGCACCTGGCGAAACCGACGACACGTTTTCTACCTGGCACCTGCGCAATGTGCCTGACGGTGAAACCGCCAGCCTGCACCTACTTGGTAGGTGCGCACATCTGCGCAGATAGACAACCTGCGACTGCAGATAGTCACCTGCGACTGCAGTGCTGGCAGACCGCGCGCAGTGCAACGTTGGCAGAACACTCTGCTGCAACGTTGGCAAGCCGCTCTTCTGCTGCGCTGGCAGATTTCGCCCTTGCTAGGAGTTCCATGCCATTCTAGTTCCTTTTGTTCTGCATGCCTCAATTGTACTACCAACTTTTCATTACAAGTTGTTCCTTTGAACTTCCTTAGTGGAAACTATGTCAAACATCTCTGTGAACACAAGCAAGCAGTAAGAACGTTAGAACAACGCTACGATCACTCGCACAACTCCGTGCCTTCTGCCGTAGTCCACTCCCGTTGTGTAGTGACTCTCCGCACCCCTCTCATACACGCCACTCCTGTCATTCCCCGCACACCTCTTATACCCCCGACTTCTCTCATTCCGTTGCTCCTCCATTTACCCCCACTCTTCTCGTCCCCCACTCTTCTCCCCCCCCACTCTTCTCGTCCCCCACTCTTCTCCCCCCCCACTCTTCTCGCCCCCACTCTTCTCGCCCCCCACTATTCTCGCCCCCCACTCTTCTCATAACCCCCACTCCTCTTATGCAGCCCACTCCACTCATTCCCCCTACTCCTTTCTAACCCCCCACTCCCCTCATACCCACGCTACCCTCATACATCCATTCCACTAATTCCCCCTACTCCTCTCTCACCCCCCACTCCCCTCATACCCACTCTACCCTCATACAGCCCACTCCTCTCATTCCCCCTACTTCTATCCCACCCCCCACTCCCCTCATACCCACTCTACCCTCATACAGCCCACTCCTCTCATTCCCCCTACTTCTATCCCACCCCCCACTCCCCTCATACCCACTCTACCCTTATACAGCCCACTCCTCTCATACCCACCACTCCCTCATACCCCAATTCTTGCATAACAACCACTCCCGCTTCTTTCATACACCCCACTTTTCTCATACCCCCCACTCCTTTCATTCCCCACACACCTCTCACCCACTCCTCGGAGACACCCCCCTCCTTTCATTCCTCCACTACTCTCATATCCCCCTCTCTTCTCGTACCCTCCACTCCTTTCATACCTCCGACTCCTCTCATGCACCCCACTCCTCTCATTCTCCCTCACCCCTCTCACATCCCTTACTCCTCGCATACCCACAACTTCTCACTTAACCCCTTTCCTCTCACACTTTGCATGCCCCCCATTCTTACTCAAACCCACACTCCAATCATACCCACCAAGTCTCTCATAAACCCCAAGTCTCTCATAACCCCCAATTCTCTCATACCCCCCTCTCCTGTCATTTCCCCTCTCCTCTCATACTCCCTACTCTTCACATGCCCCCGCATCTCTCATACACCTCACTGTTCGCATTCCGCCACTCCTCGGAGACCCCTCTCGTCCCCCCTAGGCCCGTCTCATTTTTTAGCATAAAACGCTCCTCAGCCTTGCTGGAGGTTATTAGTTGATAAGGAAATAACGTGTTTCTTACGTACGCCTTTGGGCAATTGGTTTGTGTAAACCATATTTCCAGCTTCTCTATGGTTTGCTGTACATGGTTATGACCTTAAATATAACCTTAACCTTTGTTATGAGATTTAAAGGAGAGTGCGCAAATTAACGAATAACGAGGTTGTGATTGAACAGACTGAGAATACAATGAAGACACATGCTAATGTAGTGGCTAGCCTAGCTAGGAGGAACCTCGGGTGAGCGAGGTTGGGTGCAGGTTTGGCGAAGGGAAATGCCGAAGGCGACGCGGGGAGCCTTGGGATCGTTGATGTCGGCCAAACGTGCTGAGTCCGAAATTCGGGGCTGTACACGAAGCAGTCAATCCCGATAAGGAATTCGAGAAAATTCCTTACACTACCCCCCCCCCCCCCCCCCCCCCCCCCCCCCCCCCCCCCCCTTAAGAAATGTGGTCGATATCCGCAGCTCACTTGCGGGCGAGATGATCACCGATAAGCGGAGAAGCCTCAAGCGAAGCGGATGACACCCACGTGTCGTCTTCACTGGTGCAATCAGTCCAACGGATGAGGAAATCCACGTGGCGACCAGCTGCGTCCAGCCGTACACGATGCGCCAAGATCTTGGATGGGTCGAGTGTCGGTTCTGGCACAGGCCGTGCTGTTGGTGCAGCCTGTTGTCGCGCTATGTCAGTCTGGCACGAACTTGCGAAGGAGGCTGACGTGGAAGGCGTCGTGTATACGCCAGTCGTCGGGTAGTAGCAGCTTCGCGGTGACAGGTGTCACCATCTTGTTGATCTTGAAAGACCCACAAAATCGTGGCCGTAGTTTCAATGGGCCGGGCAGGTGCAGGTTCTTCGTGTCAAGTAGCACTAGTTGCCCAGCTGCCAGGACGAGTTCCCGTCGTAGAAGGTCGGTGTACTTTCGGGAAGTGGTATTCGCCTTGCGAATTGCGTCCGCAGCTTTCTCGCGAACTTCCTGTAGTTCCGTCACAATTGTTTGTGACCGCGGGACCGGATTGTCGAGTGTAGTCGTGGTAGGCACCGTCGGGTCCATCTCGTAATTCAAGAAGAACAGGGAGTGATAAGTCGTGCTAGACGGAGCGTTTTTGAATGGCAAGCAAGTCTTCCCAGCGGGCAGGGTCGGGGCAGTTTGTCTTGATCAGCTGCTCCATGGTCTGATTGGTCAGCTCGGTCTAGCCGTCCGTATGCGTGTGGTATGCTGATGAGAACTGTAGCTTCGTGCCGTACTGCGCCCATGTTTCCTTCCAAAACTTCGACGTGAACTTCGGATCTCGGTCGCTGATGATCGCCGAAGGAATTCCGTGCAGTCGCACGGCTGTTGAGATGAAGAGGCGCGCAGTTTCCTCGGCTGTGATTGTTGTACGACACGGTGCGAAGTGCGCCATTTTTGTGAAGCGATCGACGACGACGAGTACGGCGTCGTTGCCGGACGGCCGAGCTGGCATCCTCGTGACGAGATCCATTGTCACTTGCTGCCACGGTCGTTCGGGTGGTTCGAGGGGTTGCAGCAGCCCAGCTGGCCATTGACGTGTCGATTTCATGGCTTGGCACACCCTGCATGAGGACACATATCGCTGCACGTCGTTAGAGGAGTC